TGAACTAAGTGGAGGAGTCAGGATAGCAGGCTGGAGCTGTGGTCGCTGATCTGAGTTTCCCAGAGCCATGATCCTCTGTGCCAAGCTAAGCATCTGCTCCCTAGAAGCTTGGCTCCCCATTCTAGCAGTACTCTAGTCAAGGACATCACTGTGTGGTGGGATGTTAATTTCAAGGAAGATCCAGCGCTTCAGGAGCTGAGTGTTGAGGCAAAGTTGGCCAGGCGACCTGCCAGCTGGAGGTGGGGAAGAGTAGTCAGTCATCAGTGACTTATTCAAGGGCTGCCAGCTCTCAGCTCTGCTTCTAACCAGGTATGAGATCCTACCTCTATCTACACAGAATGAGAGAGCTGTAGTTAGGGAAGGCCCAGTTTCCTTCAGTGTGGGAAACAGAGGTCCAGGAAGAGGAAGTGACTTTCAGGCAGTGAGCTAACAGTCAAAGTTGACATGGGGATTTAGGCTGAGGTCAAATTCTCTCAGAGCTCTAGGAATGCTACAAGGTTAGCATGCAGGACCTGTGCAGGTAGAATGGCTCAGTCTGTTTTCTGCTTTTATTTTACCCGGCATGCTTCAGAGTGAGACTATAGTATAGTGGTTAGAAAAGGCTGGGAGCCACCAAGACCCCAAGGTTCTTGGCTTGAAGCTGAATTCCATGGTCTAAGGCCTCTCTTGGGTGTGTGGGGGGGTCTCACTTCTCTCAAGGCAAGCCATCACCAAAATGCCTCAGAACACACAGGGCTTCCTGGAGCCTGAGCAGCAGGTGCCAGAGAAGAACTGGGATTCCAGCCACAGCTGAGGATGAGCTCGCTGAGCTGCCTTTTGAGATGCTTCTGTGTCCACACTTGGAATGCAGCTGGGGCTTAGGGGAGGAGGATGTTATGATAGAGAAAAACAAGGCTTTGTTATTGGGGCCTGCCTCCTTTGACACAGGTTTTCTCCCCAACCGAGGCCACAGGACTGCTGACTAGAAGCACCCAAGAAGTGTTCTTAGGAGTGTGCGCATGGCTACTAGCTGCTTGGGACTTTGAATAGTGGGGCTTGTGTGGCCCAAGTTTGACATTTTGGTCTAATGGTGGAGGCAGCTGCTGTTTTTTCAGTCTTCCAACAGCATTGGTTTCTCTCTTTTAAGTCTGTTTTTCTGCATACAGCTTCAGATCCCCTGGTCTAACCCAGGGCTTTGCTGGGAGCCTCTCTACACCAGACCTCTCTATACTTCAGAGGTACCCTCTCACTGAAGCCAAGCTGTTTCATGACCAACTTTTCTAGTATTTCCTGCTGCTGCTGCCTGGTTCTTATCTTCCTTCAAGTCTCACAGAAGCATAGAGCATGCCCTCCTTCCCCACTGCATCTACTTTTAGCGTGTCAGAAGGAAAGTTAGAAACTTAGAAATCATTTAGTTTAATCACCCTCATTTTCAGGGGTGGAAACTGAGACCCTAGAGGTGAAGTGAGTTGCCCAAGGTCACCCAACTAGGAAAATGTCTGCTCAACTTACTGGCATTCTATCCATAGAGAGGGCCATGCTTGGAGTGGGGAGGCTCAGTTTTGTTCAGAACATAAGCTGAGTGAGGCCAGTCAGCCTACCCTTGGGGGAGGGTTTTGGGGGTCAAAGAAAGGCATGCTTCTAGAAATTTCCACAGGAGTCTATTCAGCTCGACCCTGCTTAGGAAATCCCTTACCAAGCCCCTGCCCCTTAGCTGCTGCTCTGACCCTCCTGAACTTTCTATGCTTTTAAAACTGCTGGGGCACTTGTCCCACAGAATATCACTGGCTTGTCAGAGGAAGAATGGCCCAACTGGGTCTGGGGCATGTCTGGGTTGGTCTCTCCAGAGGCGCTCCTCATTTTCCACAGCTCTGGGCAAGGCTTCCTCACCCTATTAAAGCCACTCAGCCTCTCCCTTCCACCCTCCCAGCAGATGATCCCTGGATAATTTATGCAGCAAATCCTCTTTAATCTTTAATCTGGGGTCCTGCCGCTAACCTGTGTCTTTTTCACAGCTTGAGTGCAGGTAGAGAATGTCTGACATTTCCCTTTAGGAAGTGTGGTGGAGGGATTTGGGTAATCAGTAACTTGGACGTTAGTCAGCTCACTTCCCTAAAACTTTGCTGAATCTCTGGGGATCACTAATAGTTCCCTACCAGTTTCGGTAGCAACTCCCTCTTCCCTTCCAAAGGCATCTCCTGAGAATGCCAGGTGGGCCGTTCTTTTTTCCTGCGGGGTTTGGCCCAAGCCCCAGCGGTGCTGCCCTGCCTGAAGAGACCATTTTTCAGGGTTTGAGTAAGGAAGAACCTGGTATCCAATACAGCCCAGGGATGAGTAGCCCAGGCGCCCACCAAGTCCTGCACTTCGGGGATGACGGATGTCGCACGCCCAGTTGGAGCCGGCACCCACCACAACGGAGATGCAGGCCCCGCCCAGGGCCCGACTAGCTCCGCCCCTGGGTCCCGCCCCTAGCGGTCCGCACTTGGGGAGACCGGTGGGGGCCGGCGGTACAGCGAGGTCGGCGCACAGCTCCCGCCGCGGGTCGCTCGGGCGCTGTCCAGGCGGAGCCGGCCCGGCCCGGCCCGGCCCGGGCTGCAGCCATGGTAAGGCGGGCGGGCGCAGGGCAGGGCCGGGGTGCGCAGGGCCCGCCACTCCCGGGCGGTTCCGAGGGGACCCGCGATGCCGCAGCCCCGACTGTGCGGGGCGGGAGGCGCTGTCGCCTGTCCCCGGCTCAGGCAGCTACTGCTGGTTAGCGGAGCTGCGTAGCCGCTCCCAAGTTTCTTTCTCTAAGCCCAGCAGCTACGAGCGGGCCCCGACCCCCTGGGTGCTGCCCGCGGTCTTGGAGGGAAGGGATGGATCAGTGCTGTGGGTGGTGTCGGCCGGCAGAGGCGAGCCTGTTGTGATGGGGAAGGCGCGTCAGCGATGAGGGCGGTGAGGGTCTCCGCCCTTGAGTCAGCTGTTACCTGGATGACTCTTCTTCACCCCCTTGAACTGGGCCCAGAGGCTAGCACCAACTTCCTTTGGGAAACACAGAGGGGACCCACAAACAGCTTACCTCCCGAAAAGGGGTGGTAACGCTTGGTCCCTCTTTTCCACAGCCTGACAAGGGACATCCATCCCTTAGACCTTTCTCAAATATCTGAGAGTTTAGCCCACCGTCCTGATGGATGGGATCAGCTGTGTCTCTTTGCCTCTGACAGGAGCGTTGGGAAAGCTTCCTCCTGCTGCATCTATCCCCTCCCCCAAGCCAGGTCCCTCTGCAGTGTGTGGGGGTTGGGGGGGGGACTCATTCCTGCCACCTGCCTGTAGTGGGAAGAGAAGCAGTAACCCCAGGTAAAAGTTTTTGATGCTTGGCGTCAGGAGGCTAGCTTTTCTGCCATTGTTTCCAGAGACTGCCACAAATGCAATGCATGGGTGGTCAGGGCTTTCAGGCCTCACCATCCTCTTCTCCCAGTCTGGCAAAACCCCAGCCTTTGCCCTCTGCATTGGAGGCACAAGCTGTTTACAGCAAGAGGGGACCGGTTACCCCTGTGGGGCAGGATGTTGGCTATGGGCAGCCACCAGAAGGGAACTCCCTGGGCTCTGTGGAATCAAAAAGCTTTCAGGTCTAGAAAAGCCAACTTTTTGGGCTCTTGCCTGTCAAGCTGTGTCCAGGCAGAGTCCCAAGTCCTGGCCAGGAAGTCTTGGTGACCCCATGACCTTCCCCAAAGGGGTTTCCTGGGAGAGGCCAAGTGGTGCTTATCCCTGTCCCCCAAACTTCTCCCTACATGGGGGATGGACAGACTGGTTGTTTCAGGGATGGAAGCCTAGGGAGTCAGTGCCAAGCCCAGCAGGGACCAGAGGGGCTTTTTTTTTTGCCACACACTAAGTTCAGTTCAGCTGAGGTCTTGGTGCTTTTCAGCTTAGCTGAGACTACTCTATTCTTTTGTTTTCTTGTGTGTGTGTGTGTTTAATTTTTTTTTAATTTTTATTTTATTCATATGTGCATACAATGTTTGGGTCATTTCTCCCCCCTTCCCCCCACCCCCTCCCTAATCCCCCCATTTTTTTAAATTTTTATTTTATTTATATGTAATTTTTGTTTTGCTCTGTTCTTTTCTAATTAAAGATACCCGACCATTACTCAAGTCTCTAGCCTCAGGCCTTTGCCCTCAAGTCAGCCAAGTCCTTAGGCTGACTGGTTCATGTCAGACCAGACTCCTCTATGAGGGTCTCTTGTCAAAGGTCAGTGTCCTGCATGCTTTGGAAATCAGTGGAGAGACCCCTCCAGCCCAGGAGCCCCAGGAGGGGGGTCAAATTTGCATGTTAAAAGAATGAAAAAAATTAATGATCATTCTGTGACTTGAGGTGCACCTTCTCTCACGATCAAAGTAGCTTGAGCTACCTGTCATCTAGGAGTGGCTTCTCTCCCCAGTGTTGGACATTAAGGACCTGAAATTAAGCACACTATTCAGACTCACAAAGTCTGGCCCAGCCAGAAATACTGGCCTCCTGACTTCTAGTGGAGTGCTCCATCTGTGTATTCCCAGACAGACCTTTCAATTTGTCTCCCGTCTAAATTGCGTCTCTGAAGCTTCTGGGATGCTAGCCTCCTGTTGACTTGAACCCATGCTAGCACCTCCCCCATTGATTCTGTGGAAATGATGGGGTGATGCAATCCATACAGGCAGGACCTTAGAGTCACAGGTCAAGTATCCTAGAGTGGTAGAAGTCCCTGAAGCAAGCCCACTCTGTGTTTGGGGTTCCCTTCAGGGAAATCTAGGAGCAGATTTCTGAAGACAGTGGCACAGCAGTTTCTTCTGCTAGGAAAAATCAAAGGGACTTGGGAAGAAGTGTGGGACTGTTCCCATGGCGCCTACAACCTGGAGATTATTGGACATTCCCACTTTTCTTCAACACTGCTTAAAGTCCAGGTGAAAGACAGCGATGGGGGGGAGGGGTGAAATCTTCTGGGAATAGGCAGCTTTCCCCATGTGCTGATGGGCCAGGTCACCTTGGGATAGTTCCTAGTCCCCATAAAGTCCTCAGTGTCCTTGGGTTAACAGGAGAGGCTAAGTGGATCAAGAGCCTGTGCTGCAGACTGACAGGAGGTTGGTGCTGTGTCCACCAGGGTAGGAAGCAGGCAGGCATCATGGAGCAGCCAATCAGAGGAGGAGGGGACTGCAGAGGAACCAAGTGATCCTGCTGCAGCTGAACTGTCCTTGGAGGGTGGGAGCCAAGGGAAGGGGAGGAGGAGAGGGAGTGGGGATGGACATTCCACAGGCTTTTTTGGCCCCTGCCAGAGACAGGGGGGTTGGAGGGGGGAAGGAAAGGAGTGGGGAGAAGGTCAAAGAAAAAGGGAAAGGAGCAAGCCAGGAAGCCAGATGACAGGAGCATCAAGACAAGGCTGTTTCTGTGTTTGAGAAACTTTGCCTGGGAGATAAAATTAGACCTAGAGCTTGCTGACAGGGGTCTGAAGCGTGGGGCATGGACCCTTCACTGGGATGGCAAGGGAATTCTGTCCCTGAAGATGGGACTGAAGCTGGGGTAAGGTATTGTTCTGGGAGATGGTAGGCCTGACCTATCTTCCCCCTGCATTGACTGGAATTGGAGCTCAAAGTTGGAAAATGATTTGGTGGGGCTGGGTACATGACTTGAGAGGTAGAATGCCTGCCTAGCAAGATCCAGGACCTGAGTTCAAATCTCCCAGTCCCGCCAAAAAAAAAAGAGAAAAAAGAAAAAGGATTTGGTCACTGGCAGAGCTGGGAGAGGCTATGGACAGACAGGTGAGGACCCTGGTGTCTTAATTCCTTGTCTGGAGCCCTTTGGCCTCTTCCAGGCTGAAACACAGCCAGGGTTGGCAGAGAGGAGGATAGTGCTGGGTTCCTGCTGGAAGACTGTGGGAGATGATGGTCTCTATTAGTACCTTTCCTTTTCCCTTCCTTGCTGCCACTCTGCTCAGTGTCCCTGGGTGGAGTACAGTCCTGTCTCCCACTCTGAGTGAAATTCCCAGACCAACTGCTGGGTCACTGTGGGGTTGTGTAGAGAGACAGGATTTCCTGGAATTCCCCAGACTTATTAACTGCCAAATAGCAAGACCTGCTGCCCCTCAGCCCCATCTGTTCTCTGCTGCTGGGACAATTTTGAGAGTGAAGGGGAGCCACAATTAATCATTATGCTAAGCCAATAAGCATAAACTGGGCTGTTTGGCCATTTGATTTGACCCCAAATATCATGGGTGAGAAAAACCTGTTAGATCAGGCCTACCTTAGGATAACTACTGCTGTTCACTAAGCCCCCATATGCTGGTCAGGAAAAAAAGGGCCTCTTTGCCTCCCTTCTATCTTATGAGCCCTGGAGACTATGACTACCAGCAGGTATGGGGACTTCAGGGGTGACACCCTGAAGTACCTCTTAAGGGACTTACCCCACCCTTTTCCTAGTCTCCCTTTCTCAATCCCTTCCCTCTGGCATAAATCCGGCAGTGTACATGTCTGCCTCTTTCATTTCTTCCCTTTGTAAAGTGGGGCATTGCAGGAAGACTGTGGCCATCTTATCTCCCACTCTGGCTGTGACTCCACAGTGGTTTGGGGTAGCCCCCACTGACTTGGCTAACCCCCAGAGGGTGAGTCAGCCTCTGTAGCCAGCCCTTGTCCATTGTCTGGGGGTGGCACATGGGTGTTGTGAGGCAGAGCTGAGCCCAGCACTGCCAGGCACCCCACAAAGGACACTGACCCCCCAAAGGAATGGGAAAACTGTAGGGTCTACAGCTGAGGGCAAAAGTAGGGAAATAGCCCATATTCCAAGCTGGGGATTTGTGGAACAGGCTTCTACGGAGAAGCCAGTTCATTCTCTGCTTATGATTCCCATTCTCCATGATTCACGGATTAGGCCAGACCCTTTCCTGTACTGCCTGTTTCATGCAGAGGAGACAAGAGGACAACTGAGGGGTGCTTGTCCCTAGATGTCCCTCCCAGTTGGGAGCTGACTGCAGCACAGGAGGTCTAGCCATCCCAAGCTCTTCATGTTCTCCCATACTCTCTAACCTGGTTCTTTCTAGCTGTCCTCCATATTCAGAATCTTCTGGGAAGTTTACTCTTCTCTTCTGGAGTCTAAGGCTAGATTGTGGTGTGGCTCAGTGTCTGGAGTAAGAGTAGGGTCAGTGGGGCTGAGCCCTGGGCAGCAAAGCTGGAGAGTGAACACCTGCAGGAGAATCTTCACCTGGCTCCCCAGCTCACTGACTGGCAGTAACAGAGGCACAGAATCCCTTCTGGTTCTTGACTTGCCAGAGGGCAGCTATCTTCTTCCCACCCTGCTTCTTTGTGCTTGTTCTGTATTCTGCTCTCTGCACTCTCCCTTGGGTCTTGAGCCACACTTTCAGGCCTCTGTCTTCTCTCTCTTATTCGGTCTGATTTTCTGGCCTTTGGGACAGTCCCTGGCCCCTGGCTTAGCCAGACTGCCAGAAAGGGCGGCCTCAACAAATATCTTGAGAGAGCAGGGCTTTGGGGACTGCTCCTGGACCCCCGGGCTCTTTTCCACCTCTTGGCTTGGGGAGGCTAGTAAGTATGTGATGGGGGATGGTGAACACCTCCTCTGGCCTGGCTGCTAGTCCTTTTCTCTCTAACCATAAGTACTTTCCTTCTTTCCTTTTCACCTTCTCCTGTTTTCTGCCTTCCTCATTCTTCCCTCCTGGCTCCCTGCCTGTTACCTCCCATCTACTCCACCCCACCTTCCCACCCCCCCAGATCAAGCGTTTCCTGGAAGACACCACTGATGATGCTGAACTGAGCAAGTTCGTGAAGGATTTCCCAGGAAGCGAGCACTGCCACCCACCAGAGGCCAAGACCAGGCCCCAATTCCCGGAGCCAAGGCCCCAGGCCCCAGACATCTATGATGATGACCTGGAGTTCAGAGCCCCCTCATGGCCCCAGTCCTCTGACAGCCAGCAGAACTTCTGTGCCCCAGCCCCTCTGAGCCCCTCCACCAGGCCCCGTAGCCCATGGGGCAAGCTTGATCCTTATGATTCCTCTGAGGTAGAGAGTATAACCCTGTCTTTGTCTTTCAGTGGGTGGGTGCAGGAAGACCCTGGGAAGGAGCAGAAAGAGCCGTGTGTGGTGTGTGTGTGTGTGTGTGTGTGTGTGTGTGTATGTGTGTGTAATTGGGGCCTCTGTCCTGTGTTAGCCCCAGCTCTGTGGTATTTGCCCCGAGGCTATTGGAAACTGGCAGTATTGGCTGGGGCAAGAGTTTCAGCTGGTGGCCTCAGATGGGAACTCAAAGGAGTTTGGTACTACTCTTTTTTTTTTTTTTGGTGGTCCTGAGGTTTGAACTCAGAGCCTCTTGTTTGCTAAGCAGGCACTCTACCACTTGAGCCACTCCCCAGCCCAAGGTACTACTCTTTTAAAACTGGGGCAAAGACTTAGAAGAGAGAGAAAAGACTGGTGCTACATGCTGCTGTCCCTCCTCCTCCTCACTCTGTTGCATTCTGTCTTCTTGTCCACTAGGATGACAAGGAGTATGTAGGCTTTGCAACCCTCCCCAACCAAGTTCACCGAAAGTCTGTGAAGAAAGGCTTTGACTTTACCCTCATGGTGGCAGGTAGAAATGGGCAAGGCTGGGTTGGCAAAGGGTGTTTCAGGTGGGGGTGGGGTGTATGTGTGTGTGAGTGTGAAGAGGACTGGATAAGGGAAGAGCAAGCAGCAAATGGCTGTGCCTTTTTGCAAAATAGCCAGGAGCCTTTGGTGGTCAAAAATGTGTTAATGGGGGAATGAGGTGGTGCAAAGAGCACAGTTTTCTAGTATTCTTCCCCTTTCCATGTGCTCTTGGGCAATCTCTTGCTCTCTTTCTCTTCATTCAAATGAGAAGGCTTGACAAGCTGATTTCTGCTTCCTTCAAACTTTAAAATGCTATGCTTTGGTTTATCTAGTCCTAGTTGAAAAGAAAGCAATTAGTCCTAACTTTGATCAGGTGGAGCTGCCTCTGGGCTATAGATCTTACCTTCTGACTTGGTGCCTCTGTCCTCTCTCCTGGCAGGAGAGTCTGGCCTGGGAAAATCCACTCTTGTCAACAGCCTCTTCCTCACTGATCTGTACAGGGACCGGAAACTCCTTGGTGCTGAAGGTAAGAAAAGGAGAGGAACCTGAAGACAGGCAGGCAGACCTGACTTGGAAAGTTAAACTCACTACAGAGTTGGGTGGGGATAGGGCCCTCCCCAGCATGCCTGAAGCCATAGCTTCCTAGAGAGACTGACTGACAGCATTTCTCCATAGGCCTATCTGTTCTGGCAGCCCACCAGCCAGTTCCCTAAAGATCTGGGTGCTGAAGGAAAGGCAGGGACCAAAATTCTGCTCTCTGAATGAGTCTCTGACCCCCAAAGGATTCCAGGAATCCAAGAAAAAGCTGGGAGCAGAGAAGAGGCTGGGGCCAGAGCCAACAGCCACCGGCATTTCCTGTGTTGGGAAATGTGCTCCTTGCTGGTTCCCAGAGAACAAGCCCTTGGCAGCCTGGGGGTAGAAAGAGGGGCAGTGTGGATGAAGTAGTCTGGGCAGCAAAACTGACTGGGCAGGTCCCTGCCCTTGCCCTCACCTCAGTTTTCCCCTTCTTCAGAGCGGATCATGCAAACTGTGGAGATTACAAAGCATGCAGTGGATATAGAAGAGAAGGGTGTGAGGCTGCGGCTCACCATTGTGGACACACCAGGGTTTGGGGATGCAGTCAACAACACAGAGTGGTATGTCTGACCCAGCACAACCCATGCTGCCCCTTGCCCACCCATCTATTCCATGCATGCACACACGTCATATGCAGGCACAGATATAGCCAATACTTGTCAGGAGGAAGAGGTTTGTGACCTTGAGAAAATCACTCTTCTTACTGGACAGCTGTTTCCTCTTGGGTAAAGTTAGAGGGAAAAGGACTAGAATAGATGATTTCTAATGTTCCTTACAACCCTGACCTACAATTCTACAATGGAGCTGGGGACATAAGAAAGAAGAGCCTCAAAAAAGCAAACACATGTGAAAGCATGTTGCATAGGGACTGATTTGTAGGTCTCAATAAATGCCATCACCTTCCCTCCTTCCTTTCCTTTTACCAGCAACCTTTGAGGTACTGTAAATAAGTCTTGTTGATGGGGAATGGAGGAGCATGGAGGGAATGGTGAAAGGAATAAAGAAGGGATAAAGGAAAAAAAATAGATGGAAGTCTTTTTAAACTACAGGCTCCCTGCAGGCCATAGTCATCTCTAGCTTTTTATTTACTTATGAATTGGAGGAGGGCTAGCAGAGTGGCTCAAGTGGTAGAGTGCCTGCCTAGCAAGTGGGGTGAGGTCCTGAGTTCAAACTCCAGTACTGCCAAAAAAAAAAAAAGAAAGAATTGAGTTTGAACTCAGGACCTCACCCCACTTGCTAGGCAGGCACTCTACCACTTAAGCCACACTTCCAGCCCCCTTTTTGCTTTAGTTATTCTTTAGGTAGGGTCTCAAGTTTTTTCCCAGGGCCAGCTTCAGGCTGTGATCCTCCTACCTACAGTCTCTGTGTAGCTGGAATCACAGTTACATATCACCATGCCTGGCTTACTGTTTGAGATGGGGTCTCACTAACTTTTTGCTCAGGCTGGCCTTGAACCAAAATCCTCCCCATTTCCACAGGGATTACAGGCATGAGCCACTGCACCCAACCTTGAGAGTTCAAATCTTTTTCTTTTTGTTTTTGGTGGAACTGGGGTTTTTGAACCCAAGGCCTTATGCTTGCTAAACAGGTATTGTATCAGTTGAGCCATGCCCCCAGCCCTGAGAGATCAAATCTTGATTGGCATCTAGTAACTGCATGATCCTGGGCAAATGGCTGCATTCTTATTTCTTCAACAGAAAAATACCAGTCCCTACCACCTCACAAAATTACCTGGAAATCACCCAAAATGATGCCTACACACTACACTCATGAATTTCAACAATGATAATTACAGGACCAGTAACATAATTTGTGGGTCTCCTTTTTCAAAATCATTAAGAATTTCAAGATGGTGACCAAAAAAACAAACCAAAACAGACCAAGCATGGCCCTTCTGAACGAGAAGTACTGCGCAGTCTCCACACCCGACCCTGGATAATTGCTTCACAGACTAATCAGATCCTTACAGAACTTTCTGACCCCCCATGTTGTGCTTTGTCATTACAGCAGGCAACTTTCAGCACAGCTAAGTGATTCATCATCAACCATCTAAGCTTTGAGAGGAGGGCTCAAAACTCTTGTATTCTTTCTACAACTGTGCTAGTTCATGGTACATGGTTCCTATTATTATCACCCTTCCTGCTCCAGTAATAAGTCTTAGCAAACAGCTTGCCCTGAAATTTTAGTCGCAACCATTACCTGGTTCTTGGTGTAGCAAGTATGACTCTTTTAATCAATCTAAGTAACTCCTTTTACCTTTAATAATAATAATAATAATTTCAGTGATAGGTTTCATAATAACAGTTCCACCTTACAGTTTATAGTGTTCCTTCATATATGCTCATTTAGTTGATCAGCAGGAATTTATGAAGCACATACATACTGAATGTCCATCCTGTGTTGGAATTTAAGAAATGCAGAATAGTTATGAATGATCCTCGTCTCTGAGAGGCATATAGTCTAGTGGTGGTGGGGTAGAGGAGGAGGAACCTTATGTTCCATCAGGGAACAAATTAGTAAGTGGTCATACAAACACAGTGAGGTAGGAGTCAAAAGCCAGGGACTCAGGATGGTAGAGAATGTACAAGCCAAATAATCTGGAATGAGTTTCTTAGGTGCTCCAGATTTAATTTCTTTGTATATAAAATGAGAACGATGATGCCCAAAATGCATAATGTTCACCTGTCAGGGCAGTGAGGATTCAACTAGATGTTACCTAGTTTGCTCTTCTGTTAGAAGAACAAAAGACCTGAAAATTGAGATTCTTAAGATAAATATATACAGTCATACATTGCTTAACCATGGGAATATGTTCTGAGAAAAGCATCATTAGGCAATTTTATCACAGAGCTAAATGGCATATGTCAGTCACTCAGTGTAGTCACTTGGAGATTGTGAACATAAGATGGATAAAGCTGCAGCTAGTGCAACACAAAAACTTTGTCTTTATAAGCAGAAGGGATTCACTAAATAATGTAAGATACAGTATAGTAAATAAAGTAACATAGTCATTTTTTATCACTATCAAGTTTTATGTACTGTGTATAATTGTATGTGTTACACTTTTAGATGACTGGCAGTCCACTAGGTTTGCTTATATCAACATCACTACAGACATAAAATGCATCCATGCTGTGATGTCACATTGCAGATGTTTTTAAGCTCCATTATAATCTTGTGGCACCACTAAAGTATATGAGATCCAAACTTGATCAAAATAGCATTAGATAGTGGGTTGCTGTATATGTGGCTGGGTAGTGAAGAGAAGGGGTGAGCTGTGCATTGGTGTAATTGAAAGAGCCTTCATGGAAGAGTTGGTTCTCGGATAGGGCCTTGAAGGATGGGAGTAGGTTTGGAGAGATAGAGAAAAGGGTGGGAACCACATGAGCAAAAGCTCTGAGGCTAAACTGCGAACCTGACTAAAACTGACATAGGTTTTCCTGGCTTCCAGTTGGTGTTCACCTGCAGCCACCTTGCTATTTTTAAAAAAATTTTATTATTTATTTTGTGGTACTGGGGTTTGAACTCAGGGCCTTATTCCTGCTAGGCAAATGCTCTACTACTTGAGCCACACTTCCAGCCCCACCTTAGTGTTCTTACTTTTGTTTACTCATCTGGGCCCTTTTCCTTATCAAAGTAGTATTTACTGAACTCTGCTTATGTCTAATTTTCTATCAGGATATGTGAAATACACTCCTGTCCCACCTAGGTATCACCTTGATAGTGCAGTAATGCAAGCTGGGGAATAACAATGTCTTGAAAATACTGCTCAGGTTATAGACTACTTTTCTGTAGTCCCACAGCCCACTAGGCAGCCCCCACTCCCACAGTTTCTGTGCTTGTCTGTCCCTGCCCCAGCTGGAAACCTGTGGCAGAATACATCGACCAGCAGTTTGAGCAGTATTTCCGAGATGAGAGTGGCCTGAACCGCAAGAACATCCAAGACAACAGGGTGCACTGCTGCCTGTACTTCATCTCACCCTTCGGCCACGGGTATGGTCTGAGCTTGAGACTCCTGGCACCACCGGGTGCTGCCAAGGGAACAGGCCAAGAGCACCAGGGGCAGGGCTGCCATTAGCAGGTGGTCACAGATTCCTGTTTCCCAGGCTCCGGCCATTGGATGTTGAATTCATGAAGGCCCTGCATCAGCGGGTCAACATCGTGCCTATCTTGGCTAAGGCGGACACATTGACACCTCCCGAAGTGGACCGCAAGAAACGCAAAGTGAGGGAAGCTGATGGGGCAAGGGGAGCAGGTGGGCTTTTAGAAAGATGGGGTGCCCAGAACTGTGGGGCCCCTCATCTGTTTGCCAGATCCGGGAGGAGATTGAGTACTTTGGAATCAAGATCTATCAGTTCCCTGATTGTGATTCTGATGAGGATGAGGACTTCAAATTACAAGACCAAGCCCTAAAGGTGGGGCCAAGGCATCCCTTTCCCATATTGTTTTTTCTGGGCAGAAGAGGGGAGTAGAAAATTCTATGTAAGAGCAGTCTGTTGGGGTGGGAGAGGACCCTGACTTCCTAGGGTAAAGCAGAAAATACATGCAGAAAGGAATAGGTGAGGATGAAGGGTGTGATAGGCACCCTTGACTTCTTTTAGGAAAGTATCCCATTTGCAGTAATTGGCAGCAACACTGTGGTGGAAGCCAGAGGGCGGAGAGTTCGGGGCCGACTCTACCCATGGGGCATTGTGGAAGGTAAAGCTCTGAGTTTGTGAACAGACTATCTCCTTGCCCTTAGTGGCTCTCCCCTACCCAGACCCTGGCTGACCCCTAGCCTTGCTATGCAGTGGAAAACCCAGGGCACTGCGACTTTGTGAAGCTGAGGACAATGCTGGTGCGTACCCACATGCAGGACCTGAAGGATGTGACACGGGAAACACATTATGAGAACTACAGGGCACAGTGCATCCAGAGTATGACCCGCCTAGTGGTGAAGGAACGAAATCGCAAGTATGGCCAGAATCTAAGACAAAGCTGGCAGGGGGATCCCAAGACCTTCCCTTGTTCTTCTATTGGCCCTGAGCTCAACCTAAGTTGGTGCTGGGGTCCCCCTAACTTTACCACCCTCCTTTCCCCTTCCCCTCAGCAAACTGACTCGAGAGAGTGGTACTGACTTCCCCATCCCTGCTGTCCCACTAGGGACAGATCCAGAAACTGAGAAGCTAATCCGAGAGAAAGATGAGGAGGTGAGGAGCAGTATGAGGTGGCAGGGGTTTACAGCTGGGAGGTCCCGTTTGACCTTAAATCTCTACCTCTGGATTTGTAAGTGGGTAGATCCCTGGCTCTGGTGCATCTTTTGGATGTTGACGGGTGGTTCTGCCCAGTCTTTATCATACCTCAAGTTTACCAAACCCCTGACTTAAGGTATTAGAACTTGGAGACACTTCCCCAATACTATAGGACTCTCTGAAAAGCTTCATTTTGATGCATGTGCCTATTCCAGCTGCGGCGGATGCAGGAGATGCTACACAAAATCCAAAGACAGATGAAGGAGACCCATTAACTGCTTTTGGACCTGGATATTTAAACCTCCTCTTCTTTCTGCCCATGCCAGCCTCTCCCAGCACCAGCTCTGCTCAGGCCCTTGCAGCTACTGCCACTTCGCCTTATATCCCTGCTGACTCCTCAGAGAATCAGAGGAAATAAAATTTAATAAATCTATAGGTGGCTTCTGGTGTTCCTGTCTGTATGTTTACCACCTCCTAAAGAGCAAGAGCCTAGGACTCAGTTTGAAAGGCTGATGGAAAGGGTTGTTGGTTTCTGGCTTTTAGTAGGGAAGGGAGAGTGGGGAAATGTTCCTGTTCCCACAGCAGGGGTGTCTCTGTTTACGATCTAGCCTGGCCACTCCATCTTACTGACCATATATATTCTACCTCAGTTATCTGGAGCATGGGTCTCTGTCCATCTTTCCCACATATGGTACCTTCAATTTTGTAGCAAGTTTGGATCTGACACCAGCCTTTGGGAGACATAAGATACTAACTATATGCAACCTTCTGACTTCCTGTTTCTTCTGATCTTGTTAAAGGAATATGCAGAATTAAGCTCTAAACTCTAGGAAAATTATGATAGAGCGCTGAACAAATGTTGAAGGTCCTGTAATCACCAAACACTAAGTGCTTGTTATTAATAAAAAGCACATTGTTCTGGAGGAGTTCGGCACTCAAGCATCTGTTAAGTTGCAGACACTGTTTTAGATCTTGAAGCTAGTGAACACAGGCAAGGTTCCTGTTTTCCTGGACCTTACTAACTGTATAGTACAAAGACGTGGGGACACCAGCCCTGGGGCTTGGTATAAAGGCGTTCAGATCTCCTCCAGAGCTAAGGCTGTTTGTTGAGAATCCGGATCAACCGTTCGTGTCTGTGGTTGACTGTACCGCGGGGCGAAGGCGACCTCCAGCGGTCACCCTCCGTCCTGTTGTCGGCTCTGGGTCCTTGGGAGACTCTTGCAGTACTTATCCGCTCCCCCCGTCCCTCCCCCTTTACAGACCAGGAGGCCGCAGCTAGTACCAGTCTCAGATCCACTTTTCCTTTCGGGTGAGAGAACTTTACTCAGGACTGGCAACACCGGGCAGATCTTGAAGGTCATTTGTCGATAACAAAGCGAAGGTAGGAAGAACCTGTCCATATAGGAAAGTGGAAACTGCAAGGCCGCCTTCAGAGAAGATTCTGATGCAACTTCAGGCTCAACCTTTCCCCTTCCCTAGCCTGCGGGTTTTTTTTTTTTTTCCCCATTTTTGCTTTGGGATGGCATGACTTCCACGAAATTGAAACTCTGTCGGACTATGCTGAAGCTCCAACGGGGATCTTTTTGAGAACTGCCCTAGGGCGGGGTCGTCAGCGGAAGTGGCCGCAAGGCCTCTGCCCCTACAATGCCCCGCCTCCAATTGCGCTACCAGTAGGCGACAGGCCGCCCCACTTCCGGCCCCCGGAATCGTATCCAGAAGCTCCCATTTACTGCTCTCCCATTGGTTACCGCAGGGACGCGCTGTGATTTCCCATTGGCCGCGTGTGCTCTGGGGCGCTGCGCCTCCTCCCTTCAGGTTCTGTCCTGTCTTCGGGAACTTGATAGGCTAAAGAATGAGAGGGCGTCTGTCCACTCGGCCAATGGACGACGTGGAGAGTGAGGGCGGCAGTGCGTGGCGGGGCAGGGCGGGACTTGGTGTGGCCATTGGCCAGGGCGGGCACAAGACTTACATACGATTGGTTGGGGAGAGGAGACCGTGGTAAGGTTCGAGCTGCGCGGCCTCAGCAGCTGCGGGAGACGGAAGTGGTGAGAGCGCTGCTTTGGAGGGTCGGGCGGACACCGCCTGGGTGAGTCACTGTGCCCCGTGCACTGCCAGCCAGGGAACCGCAACGACCACGTTTTACCCAGCTCCGCCCCGGCCCCCACCGGCTTTTTTGAGTCCCGCCCTCTGTCATTCGCGGCTCCACCTCCGACTCTTTAGGCTCCGCCCCTAGGACCTGGGCACCTGGTATCTCCTGCCAACTTGGCCCGTCCCCCAGGACCAGAGTACCTAGGTCAGGAAACCCTAGCTCTCGCTGGCTTGGTCCTTGACCCTCCTTCCCTCCCTCCATTTCCCTGAGGCTGCGTGCCAGTGGGCGGTGAGGCAGCACCCCTGGCTGGACTCTTGCGGGGTCCCTGAGGGACGGTGGGCTGGTGAAGAGTGTACTGTGATTGAGGAGGCGGGTAGGACCTCAGATGGAGGCTTTATCCCTGCAGGAGCCTCTGCTGCATTACTCCTGAGCATAGCAGACATGAAGGAAAGTGTCAGTTAACCTGAGTCTGGCTCTCTAAATGGGCCTAGGAGGCCTCATCCTGGAATTCTTCTAGTAAGACCCATTTGACAGATGCTGACTCCCCGGCCTGCTTGGCCTGAGTCTGATCCTGTTGTGTGATCTCCTCCCATAACCTGCATCCTACTTGGTGTTAAGTATGCACAGCAAGACCTTTCCAGCCTTGTTGCTCTCTTACCACAGGTTGTGGTCCTCTCCCTCTTGTCCTTTGCTTTGGACTCTGTCCCCAGTAACAGGTCAGGTGGGTGCTATTCCCAGACTCAGAGACTGGATGAACAGTCCTGTGGATTCATGGCTCCACTAGGGCCAAAAATGAGTCCCAGTTGGGCAGCCTTTGTCTCTTCGGAGTTGGCATTTCTTCTGCTTTCCTGAAAAGAAAAAGGTTTGGAGTATTCTACTTCTTTTGGGTCTGTGAATCAGGACTCTTGAGTTCCACTGAATAAGCTTCAGAACTTTGGGGCTGACTTCACGCCCTGCAGGACACTTGTTGCTGTCTTCCCATATAGCCTTTGGTATGGTGGATTGTCAAGAGGCTGGACCCTCTGTGAGGGAGGAAAATGAGAGCGTAGAGAAGTCCAGGGGTAGATGTGTGGTGTTTGTTTATTATATGGTGGTGTTAATGGTACTCTTTACTCTTGTGTTTCTCTGTCTTCTCATAGAGAACAGCAGGCAGGCAGGACCCTCACCCCGGTAGAATGGTGAGTACTCTCTCTCCTCATACCATTGTATTTTCTGTAATCCTTGTGTCTGTGTGTGAAGCTGCCCCACCCCTCTTGGACCTTGAGCTCCAGACTACTCTGTTCGAATCCTAAACAGGTTCATCTGCACTGGAGATAAATTAGGGTTTCTTTTTTTTTTTTTCCCATGGTGTAAGGCTTGCACATGCTAGGCAAGTACTGTACCACTGAGCTATGCCTCTAGCCCAGGATTTCTTTGGGTTGAAAAACTTCAGGCAGTATTCAGTACTGGGACCAGAACCCTCTAGAAGTTTTTTTTCTACATGTGCTATGCAATGACTTCCAACTCTACCTACCTACCACTGGCTCTCTACCCTTTCATAAACAGTTCTCTACTTGCTTTTCTTGGGTCCTTGGTATAATCTCCACATTCTGGTTTAAAAGGTCAGGACTTCATTATCTTAAGATCTTTGGATTTCTGGTGGGTCCCATGAATATGTGATTTATGAGGAGTGACTGCACCAAAAGTGTGGTTCTTCTTCAGCTCCCAGGTCCTGGTGTCTGACATTGCAGGTGTCAGCCAACTGTATATCTAGTAAGATAGCAGCCTGAAGATGCCCAGAGTATTACTAGGGGTGGTCATCGCAATCCTATGAAATTCTCATTAACTGTAACTGCCCTCTCTCACCCTCAGTGTAGGGAACTCCTTAACTCCTGGGAGCTAGGAGGAGGAAGCAGTAAGATGAGGAGAGCTGCAGGCCCTCCCCAGACCAGACTGCATTTCTTGCAGAAGCCTCTGTGCTTAGGGACAGGTTAATGAATTCAGTTAACCTGAGAGGACTCCTTCCTTCCGTACACATGTGAATCCATGACGTGTATAATATTGGTCTGGTCTCTTCTCAGAGAACCTAGTGATCCTGTCCCCACCACTCCTTTTTCTCTTCTGTGGCACCCTGAAAACAGCATAGGCTTCAGAGTCATCCTCCTCTGATTTCAAATCTAGCACCATCACTTAAATACCTTAGGTAAATTACATACTTTCTCCCTAACCTTGAAGTCTCACCCATTGAACAAGACAAGGCTTACTTTTCAGATGGTTGAGATAATGTTTGAAACTGTTTGGCTCATAATAGATGCTTAATAAAATGTCAGATTGTTTTTTTCCTCCTATTCGTTCCTTTCCCACAAAACAAAAGCCACGTTTTCCGGCAGTTACCAGGCACAGGAAGTTTCAGGGTTCTAGCCAGCTCTTTCTGTTACTCTTAGTGACACTGAACCCCTTATCACTACTCATTATTCCTTGGCCCTCTTCTCCTTTCCTCCTTTCTACTTCTGTATTTCAAGTTTTTTGTATAGCTTCTGTGGTTCATAATTCCAATTCTTGTTTCCCAGACTAAGAGATTCTTTTTTCAAAAAGGATTTTTTCCAACGATCAGAGGATGTGAAACAAGAGGGAGATGGAACTGAAGAAGGGTTGGTTAGGGCCATGAAATAAAAAATTCAAAGGATTTCCCTTTGGGCAGTGTGGAATGACTAACCTGGCACCAGACCAGTGCTCATTCTAAGAGACAAAAAGAGTTTAGTGAGGTCAGGGGAGTGGAGGACGCTGATGGACAGAGTATGGTAGGTGGAGGTTTTGGGAAAGGAAGAAGCATTGGAACTAAAAGGGGTACGGGGTCACGTTACCCGGTGAGCGCCATTTCAGGCTCCAGAGCAATTATTGCGAGAACTCGGAGAGGATCGTAGGGAATTTTGCGTGAGAAGAGGGGCGTGGGGTGGCTTACCTGGGAAAATGGGAAATGAAAGGCGTGGGCAGTCTTGCCTTCCCTTTTGTGCGTTTTTGGGGCGGTCCCTTAGGGCAAACTTCAGAATGCCCCTAGATGTCTCGGGGGTTGCCTGCCCACAGGGCCCAGGGACTGCGCTGAGGGAGGAGCCTCGGTGGCGGGCGGGGCTCCGCGAGCCGTCCAGCCCTGCCTCCGCCTTCCCCGCGCGTCGGGGGCTCTCCCCTCGCTCCCCTCCCTTTTGAGCTCGTGCCGGAGGGCGGAGCTGGGCCCGCTCCATTGTGGAGAGGAGGGGAGAGGCGCGCGGGAGCCGAGCCGGGGTCCCGCCGCCAGCGCGCGAGCTTCTGGCCGCGGCTGCACCTGGCGGGTCCCGCAGCCGGGATGCGGCGGGCGCCCGGGGCTGGCGGGCAGCGCAGCGGCTCCGGGGACATGTGCGCTGGCCCAGACTGCCCGTGACCATGAGCCTGACCGCCCGCGTCTCCTGCTCCATGCTTAGCTGCTTCGTAAGTGCCAGGCCTTCCTGCCGGGGCCGGGGGATCCAACGCTTGTTGCACTCGCAGCCCCGCCCAGGCCCATCCTTTGAGAGACTAAATTTCAACCCATCCCCCTTTCCAAGGCTCCTGGCCCGATCCCAGACGTTTAGAAGCAGGGAAGGTTAGCCCTTTTCTTTCTTGGACTTGCTTCAATCTTCGGGTGCTGGGGATTGTTGAAGGCCGGGAATGGAAATTCTGTGGCCCATTCTGGCCCGGCAGCCACTGCCCTTGACTGCAGATCTCCAGGCCCCGCCCTGCAGGGGTACATCCCTTTCCCTCCGCCTCTCCATCTTGGTCCCACCCGCTGCATCCTTGCTTGGAGATGTAGGATGTGGCTAGTATGCTATGTGGGATGTTAGGGGGCTGGTCGGGGAGCATAGGATGTCTGTAAGCTGGCTCCAGTCCCCTCCCCCTTCCACACTCCATCTCTCACCTGCTATGCCAGTCTTTTCTCCTTGACTGTCCCCTAGTCTCTTTTTTCTCCATCTTCCCTGCCTCTGCAGGGCTCTGTACCTCTGCATCATTCCTAGTCTTCCCCTCCTCCTCTCCTGCTAATGCTCCTTCCCAGCTTCCCCCATCTGTCCTCTCAGATGTTCCTACACCTCCCCCCTTCTCCCCCCTCCTCTCTCTCTCTCTCTCTCTCTCTCTCTCTTTCTCTCTCCCTCTCTTCCTCTCTGTCTCCCTCCCTCCCTCCCTCTCTCCTGGCTGTCCTTGGGACTTCTGCTTCCTTCCTGACGCGTGGATCCCCTCTTTTCTCCTGCCGGGTGGTTGAGAGCAGTGTGACTTCTGCTTGCCGTGGGTATTTTCAGGAATTCCCCTTAGATCAGCAGGAGGGCAGGTTGCTTGGCAGGTAGTGGGGGCTTGTCAGCAGTGTAGGCCTAATAGGAAGATAAGCTTAGCTCTAAAACACATCCTCTTTTTGAAAGTATTCACGAAGGCCCTCTAGAGGCATGGAACTGAATCCCCCCACCCTCCTCTTTGTTTCCTTCACCTACCAAGCAAGATTGAAGCTTCTGTGGCTGGAGGTGCCTGATTTCCCTCCTCTCTCTCTAACCAGCTTAGGACTCCCATTCCTGCTCCTGTTTTACCCTTACATTAGCCTTCCTTTTCCTTAGTTTTCTCCCTTCCTCCCATTTTTAAAATTTTTGTTCTAAAGAAGAGTTCCTCTTGGAACAGTGCAGATCCCCAGCTCCTCATTGGCTTACCTCATTCTTCCCTTGGGCTTAGGAGGCTTGAATACCCCTCCCTTTCACCCTTCCTCAACCTAGTCAGGTCTCCTTTCCCTCTTCTAGTGGCAAGAACTTTTAGAAGCGTGTGTGTGTGTGTGTGTGTGTGTGTGTGTGTGTGTGTGTGTCTCAGGGGGCGGGGCAGGGGAGTATCTGTAGGTTGGTGGGGGAGGGGAGCAAGTGAGCCTGTGGGGCTGAAGTGGAGCCTGGTGACTCATGGCTGTGGCCTTCCTACAGGGTGAGGAGGGGCCCCCCAGCCTGGAGTACATCCAAGCCAAGGATCTGTTTCCCCCCAAGGAACTAGTGAAGGAGGAGGAGAATCTTCAGGTAAGGAGGACTGGAAGCCTAGGGTGGGCCTTTCCAGCTAAAAAACATCCTTTTTTTTAAACTCCAAAACATCCTTTTTTTAATCTCCAAAAATCTCCAAGAGGATCTAGTACCAGAGCACTGACTTCCTGCTCCTGGGTCTCTGGAGGGATGGGGGCTTTGGAGCCTTTGGTCCCAGGGAAGGAAAGGCAGCTTTCCTGTACAGCTGGTGCCTGGTGCTGTGACTGGAGAGGACTCCTTTCCTGCCTTGGTCCAGCTTTTCCAGATCGTAGAATCTGCAGCTGCAGCTGCAGCATAGAATGAGGGGGATATTCAGTTCTGGACTGAGGGTTGTTCTGACCCTTGTTAGGTACCCTTCACAGTACTGCAGGGCGAGGGAGTGGAGTTCTTGGGTCGGGCAACTGATGCCCTCATTGCCATCTCCAACTACCGGCTTCATATCAAGTTCAAGGACTCTGTCATCAACGTAAGTTTCTGTTTTATTTTCCCACACCAAAGTTAGAAGCTGTGAGGTTCAAGGTGGTTTTGTTCCTGTATTCTGCCTGATTATATCTCCAAAACCAGTTGGAGTTCCCTTCTCTTTGTCACTGACCTCTTGTTTTCCTGCCTCATTCTTCTAGATATAAGCCTGTCTCCATCTCTCTGGCTCATTCTCCCTTCCCCTGTTCTCTTTGTGGGCTCTTCTAAAGAGCACAGTGGCTTTGTTGGAAGAGCACAGGCTTTGGAGTCAAAGTTAGACTCTTCATGCACTGCCACTTACCAGCTGTTGTCACCTTGGACAAGTCTTGGCTTTCTCCTTATAATACAGGGTGAAAATACCTGCCTTAAAGGGTTATTGTGATTGTGAATTGGTTATGTATGTGAAGGACCCAGCACAGTTACCAGGCACTTAACAGGCAACAGGCCTTTGGCAAATGCCAGTTTCCTTGCTTCCATTGGCACATTAGAACCTGGGATGGGGTGGGGGGATGAGGAATGGTGCTGAGAGTTGGGGATCTGAGCCTCAGTTTGCCCTTCCTCTGAAGGTACCCCTCCGGATGATCGACAGTGTGGAGAGCCGTGATATGTTCCAGTTGCACATCGCCTGCAAGGACTCCAAAGTGGTGAGGTGAGAACAACAGGGCCTCACTCAGGTTCTTTGATTCTAGTCTTGTTATAGACCTCTCTGCTACAGGGTTTCTTTGGAACAAAAAAAAAAAGGAAAGATATCACTTCACTTTCCCTATTGGAGGAAAGGTGTGAAAACTCTCTTCTCTGTTGTGGTTTGGGAGGTTAATTTACTGACCCATACTATCTTGATCTGAAAAACATAGGGATAATACTTAGCTCATGGAGCCCTCATAAGAATTAAATGAGATAATGCATATGAAAGCAACTAGGACAATATCTGGCCCAGAATATTCACATTATTGTTGGTTTATTTATTCATTTAATGAGCGAGTCTATGCTGTACTGTTTTAGGAATGGGTGATGCAGTAGAGAACAAATAGACAAAAATGTTCTGCCCTCAAGGAGCTTATAGTCTAGCGGGGAGATAGTAACAATAAATGGTAAGTGTGGGCTGGTGGCATGGTTCAAGTGGTAGAATGCCTGCCTTGCAAGCACAAGGTTCTGAATTCTAATCCTAGTACCGAAAAAAAATCAAGAGAGAAAGGAGTCTGTGGAAAGGAGTAGACTGGGCTGGGTCTACTCCTTACTATGTGTACAGTAAGATGTGGTTAGGTAGAAAGGAGGCATTATCACTCAAAGGACAAGGAACAAGGAGACAGGAATGATGTGAGCAGTACTTCCTGAAGCAGGTTTGTGTTAGGCAGTCACGGGAGATAACACTGGCTGTGGGAACAAGGCATACTGGGAATAAGTAATACTGAGATACATGTGGTACCATTTAGATTTGATTTGAGAAATGGTAGGGCCCATCAGAGTATATATCAAACAGACGTTCTTGAGAATAAAATTGAAGAGACAACTCTTCAATTCTCCCCTGCCTCATCTAAGCCTATGGCTTCTTGATTGGCAGGTGCCATTTCTCCACTTTCAAGCAGTGCCAGGAGTGGCTCTCAAGGCTAAGCCGGGCTACAGCAAGACCTGCCAAACCTGAGGATCTCTTTGCCTTTGCCTACCATGCTTGGTGTCTGGGGCTGACAGAGGAGGACCAGCATACTCACCTGTGTCAGCCAGGTGAGACTGGCTGTTTCCTTGGGAGGGCTGCTTAGCGCTTGGTTCTTATTCCTCCTCAATCACTGGACATTAGTGCTCTGGGAAGCTGACAGATTGGGTGCTGTGTTGCAGGAGAGCATATACGATGTCGGCAGGAGGCAGAGCTGGTGAGGATGGGCTTTGACCTACAGAATGTCTGGAGAGTCTCGCATATCAACAGCAATTACAAGTGAGAGGGCTAGGCTGGGGCACCAAAATACCAGTCCAGACCTAAGCTTCCTCCACATTTGGATAAAGCATGGTGGACTCACCTCCTGAGTCTGTGAGGGAGGAGGGCTCCCATTCCCTCTTCCCACAAAGCCGTCTCCCTTATTATTACATATCTTAGAAACAGTTTGGTGACCCCCCTCTGGTCTCTTCTCAGGTTGTGCCCCAGTTACCCCCAGAAGCTGCTGGTTCCTGTGTGGATCACAGATAAAGAGCTGGAGAACGTGGCTTCCTTCCGCTCTTGGAAGCGCATCCCTGTGGTTGTATATAGGTGAGACAGTGTGGGGCGGGAAGCTTTTATAGCAGTCTTTTTATGCAAGAAGAGAAGAATCAAATTCTGAGGTTTCTGATAGCCTGGTTAAGTAGGAATTGACACCCTATGGGGAAGTGACTGTGAAATTATTTTATAAAAACTACCTGTTTTTCTCTGAAGGACTTTATTCCTCTTTGCTTTTTTTTTTTTTTCCCCTTGAGAGTGTAAAATATTAGTACAGAGGTTGGCAAGCTGGGTCAGGGATTAAATTGGGTTTATAGTCTGTTTTAACAGCCTGTGAGCTATGAATGGTTTTATATTTTTAAAGTTTTTATGTTTTGTTTTGTTTTTAGACACAGTAGTTTGAGGCTGGTCTCAGACTTGCTGTGTAGCCAAAGCTGGCCTTAAATTCAGGATTCTCGTGTCTCAGACTTATAAGTGCCGGGGATTACAGACATGCACCACCATACTTGGCTTAAAGGGTTATTAAAAAGGGAAAGAGGGGGGACTGGAGGTGTGGCTCAAGTGGTAGAGCACTTGCCTAGCAAGCACAAGGCCCTCGAGTTCAGTCCCTAGTACCACAAAAACAAAACAAACAAACAAACAAATCCTTGAAGAATACACAACAGAGACTGGTTGTGACCTACAAAACCAAAAATTCATCTGATTCTTTACTGAAAAGTTTTCTGATCCCCATTATCAGAACATTGTAGTTAAAATAGAGTGCGAGTTGGAATTGTTCATGTTCTTGGCTCGGGCCTTGAGCCTGCTGCAAATCTAAACCTGGAGCAGGTTCTGTGCAGATTTGATGAGTCAAGGTCACCTTGGGAATACAGAGCCTATTTGAGAAAATGTGTGTGATAGTGCTTTGTAAACTGTAAAGCTCTCTAGAGATGTTAAGGCTTTTGGTTGCTATTATCGCGGCCTGGATATGTTGGTAGCCCCTGCTGGCTCTAGAGACCTTTGGTCTGGCCCCCTGAGGTCTCCATGGCAGGCTTTTGGAGGCTTGGAATGCCAAGGGCTTTATGGTTTCTTCTGTTTTGTCAGACATCTGCGCAATGGGGCTGCCATTGCCCGCTGCAGCCAGCCAGAGATCAGCTGGTGGGGCTGGCGCAATGCTGATGATGAGTATCTTGTCACGTCCATTGCCAAAGCCTGTGCCCTGGACCCAGGAACAAAGGCCAGTGGCAGCTCCCTCAGCACCGGGAATAATGATGCCAGTGAGGCATGTGACACTGACTTCGGTAAGGCATGGGTGGTACTAGTACCCCCAGGCAGCAAGCTTCCTCCTTGGCTTCTCTGGCTCCTAGGGAATCCCCAGTGAAAGGATGGGAAGATGACAACACAGGGTGCCTGGGTCCCTGCTTTTTGGGAAGCAGTGGGATATGAGGGGTCTCTACTTACATATTCCTCACAGGAATGCCACAGTGTTAGAGTGGCACTGGGCTGAGTGACTGGCTAACCTTGAGTCTTCTCCTTGCTGTATATTTAGATTCTTCTCTGACTGCTTGCTCTGGGGTGGACAGCACATCAGCCCCCCAAAAACTGCTGATCCTGGATGCACGATCCTACACAGCAGCAGTAGCTAATCGCGCCAAGGGTGGAGGCTGTGAATGTGAAGGTATTGCTGTCACCCATTGTCTGTAGGCATCCTGTTTTCTGGGCTTCTATAGTGGAAAGAATCAAATAAACCTGCTTGGAAGTAGGTCTCTGCCACTTACTAGCATGGTTATGAAGCTTAAGTTACTTCATTTAAGTTATTTTTCTCTGTAAAATGGGGATAATACATAATTCACAAGGTTTTTGGATGATTAGAAGTTGCATATATAAAATTACTGGCAGAGAGCAGCTACTATTTATCAAGAATTTCCTATACACTGTCATTCTTAGTACTGCTGTATCTATCATTAGTATTATTATTGCTACTAGTATATTGCATCTGAGTATCCAGAGGTAAAAGTACAATTCAGATTTCAAGAGTATATTTAGTTTCCATCCTGGAGTGTTCTCCCCTGCCTGCCAGGGAAGCTTTGCCTATGGGGACTGCTCTTGTTTTGGATGCTTGTTTCCAGGACATTATTTTATGCTCCACTCTCCTCTCCTATCTACAGAGTACTATCCCAATTGTGAGGTTGTGTTTATGGGAATGGCCAACATCCATGCCATCCGGAACAGCTTCCAGTACCTCCGGGCTGTGTGTAGCCAGATGCCGGATCCCAGCAAGTAGGTGTTCACGGCTGTAATTTCATTATCCCTCCTTCCTCCATACTCTCTCTCCCCTTTTTTTTTTTTATTTTTTTGATGGCACTGGGGTTTGAACTCAGAGCCTCACATTTGCTAGGCAGGCACTCTTACTGATTGAGCCACTCTATCAGCCCATCCCTCCATTCTCATCCCTTAGTGGTACCTGTTCTGGGAGAATTTGATGGAGAGATGAGAAGTTTGGAGGTACATAAGACCTCAGGACATGGGTAGAGTTAGGTGCAGTGGACCAGTTGCAAGAACACTTCTTCTCAGGCAATAGTTTGACATGGTCACAAGACATTGGATTCTTTTAGTTTAGATTGTTGATTCTTTTTGTTTAGATCAAAGAACATAGAGAACTGGGGAGAAAAAGTGGCAAAATATGTGTATGTATTCTCAGTACCTTTTTTGATTCCAAGAAGTTCCTATCTGCCTCCGTTTTCCTTATCTTCCTGCTAGATATCTCTAGGCAGAAAGGCCAAGGATTGGACCTCTTGGTTTTAGCTCTCACTGGGGACTTTGTTGGGTAGAGTTTTCTGAAAGTGGTGGATAGATGATGGCAGCTCCAGTATCCTTAGTGATGTACTTGATTTCTATTCTTGTGTAGCTGGTTATCGGCCTTGGAAAGTACCAAATGGCTGCAGCACTTGTCAGTGATGCTAAAGGCAGCTGTGTTGGTGGCTAACACAGTAGACCGGGAAGGTCGTCCTGTGCTGGTACACTGTTCGGATGGTTGGGACCGCACACCGCAGATTGTAGCCCTGGCCAAGATACTGTTGGACCCATATTACAGGACATTGGAGGTATTGAGAGGGGGTTGGGTAGGAAAGAAGAGGGGGAATAGGGGAGGAGGGATGGTGTCATGCTCCTTGGAACTGTCTGGAGAATCTTTCAGTAGAGGACATTAGTGGCTTGAGTCTTCTTCCAGGTTCAGACTTCTTGTTCTTTGCAGAGTTGTCTCTGCTTTGGGCTGTCTCCTGGGGAGTTACACCCTAGCCTTTCTAGAGAGACCCTACACTTAGACTGTTTCCTTTTTTCAGGGCTTCCAAGTGTTAGTAGAATCTGACTGGCTGGATTTTGGGCACAAGTTTGGAGATCGCTGTGGCCACCAGGAGAATGCAGAAGACCAGAATGAACAATGCCCTGTGTTCCTCCAATGGCTTGATTCTGTTCACCAGCTGCTTAAGCAATTCCCATGCCTGTTTGAATTTAATGAAGCATTCCTGGTAAGTTCTAAAGCCTGTGACCAGGGTGGGAGAATGGCTTCCTGAGGCCCACAGGTACAAGCTATCTGGGCCCTGTAGGTAAAACTGGTGCAGCACACATACTCCTGCCTCTATGGGACGTTCCTGGCCAACAACCCCTGTGAGCGAGAGAAGCGCAACATCTATAAGCGGACATGCTCTGTGTGGGCACTCCTCCGAGCTGGCAATAAGAACTTTCACAACTTCCTCTACACACCTGGCTCAGACATGGTAAGACTGAACCCTTTTCCTACTTGGAAACCTATAGGGAGAAGAGGTGGATCACGGGGAGAATGTAGAGCCAAAGGCTTAGAGAAGGAAAAGGGACCAGGAATATCTCATAAAACACTGGTGTTGGGTCATTTGCCTAGGTCCTACATCCTGTTTGTCATGTCCGGGCCTTGCACCTCTGGACAGCTGTTTATCTGCCTGCATCATCTCCATGCACACTTGGAGAGGAGAATATGGATCTTTACCTTTCCCCAGTGGCCCAGAGCCAGGAGTTTTCTGGCCGTTCTCTGGACAGGTGAGAAAGCCCTTATTCTTCCTTCGCTCTGCTAGGAAGGCAATAACTACTTTCTCTCTCACCTCAATCCTGTTCTTTTTTAAATGAGCTATTTAAAAGTAACTTCTTGAGCCAGTTAAGGGAGAAACTTGGTCCAAGACTTCGGCTAGCCTGGGGTACTTTCTGTGTGTTTTCAAGGTCCTTTCTTAAGATAAGATTAGTTACTTTCTTTCCTTGAGCTGCTATCATCTGTGTGACATACCAAGTAGGGAGAGGAGAATGAAAAAGAAAGGACTATTTCACAAAGGTTTATGGGAATGGTGTTGATTTTTATGCACTGATAAAAGGTATGGGGAGCTCGCTATCTTAGTAGCAACCTTTGCTATGTCCAGCATTAGCTTTCAGAAGCACTGACTGTCAGGGAAATGAGTTTTCAGCAGGGGGATAAACTTTACTCCCTCAGAAAAAGGCCAGAGTTTAAAGCAAGAATTAAAATTATTTTCTGACTGGATATTTGGCAGGAAGAGGAATGGGGACTGTTTAAATTGTAAGAATATCCATGTTCTTTTTTTTTTTTTTTTTTAAGGTGATACTGGGGTTTGAACTCAGGTCCTTGTACTTGCTAGGGAGGTGCTCTGCCATTTGAACCATATTTCCCAGCCCTTTTCTTATTGTTGTTAAAGTTAAGCAATATAAAAATAGAAAATGCTTCTTTTGTTGTCTTTTATAATATTCAGCCAGTAAGTTACATTTTAACTTTTAAAAATCTTCAGCCAATAAACAAATTTCAAAATTTATAATATACAAGGCCAGGCATGATGGTACAGGCCTATGATCCTAGCACTTAGGAGGCCGAGGCAGGAGGCTCATTTTCCCCTGATTCTTGTCTCCAGAGGTATCCACTATAAACACTTTGGTGGTGTCCTTCCAGTGTTTATCTCTGTAGAAATATGACATGCTCACGCCTGAGGCCCTCTGGTGCTCTCTTGGCCCTTTAGATAAAGCTGGTGCAGCACACATACTCCTGCCTCTATGGTATATATTAGTTTTAAAAACAAAACCACTGTCTTACAAATTGTTTTTCCAGTTTGTATCAGGCTGTTGTCTCATGACAACTCATATAAAGCTATTTCATTGTTTTTATTATTTTTACATTTTTATTTTTGGCAGTCCTGGGGATCAAGCCCAGGACCTTGTGCATACTAGGCAAGTGCTCTTCCACTGAGGTACATTTCTAGTCCCTTCTGTTATTCTTAGTGGCTATATATTATTTTAAAGTGAGCATGTACCTAATTTTAGGTAATTCCCTTCCCCCTTTTTTTGGGGGGTGGCCACTAGGGTTTGAACTCAGGGCGTTATGCTTGTTAGGCACTCTTACTGCTTGAGCCAGTCTGCCAGCCCTTTTTTGTGATGGGTTTTTTGGAGATAGGATCTTACAAACCGTTTGCCCAGTGCTGACTTTGAACCATAATCCTCCTGATCTCTGCCTCTTGACTAGGTAGGATAACAGGCGTGAGCCACCAGCTCCTAGTCCTTTCCCTGTTTTTAAAAAATCATTACAAGGATTGCTTTAGTGAACAACGTGTGTGTGTGTGTGTGTGTGTATTTTTAATCATGGTAAAATACACATAATATTTACCACTTGAAATCAATTTTATTTTTTTTTATATTGAAATAATTTTTAATGTTTAAAATTTAGATAGTGCACACAATACATGTTTTAGCAGTAGAATGAGAATGTGTATATGGTATTTAATAAAATTTACATTACAAAACCAGACATTAGGAAAACCTCAAAAGTAGAAGTAAACGTTTGAGTAAAAACTAAACATGCTAAGGGATATGATTTTAAAATCCTAATAAATGTAGTCATCTAAATCCAGACTTGAGACACAAGATTTACTTTGCCACTTTAAAAAAAAAAAAAGCATAATGCCCTTCATTTTAAATGCAATTTTTAAAAATGTTTGCACATTGTTTTCCTGCAGGCAACTGCAGTGTTATCAAGTACTTAAGTGAATATAAACTGAATTCCAATTTGATAATAAAAATGTATGAAATCAATTTTAAATGTACCATTCAGCTAGGGGTGTATCAGTGGTAGTGTGTGCTTAGCATGCTCAAGGCCTTAGGTTTAATTCCCAGCACCCCTTCCCTCCAATGTATAGTTCAGTAGTATATGTGTGTATATATACACACACACATGTACATGTATATGCATTTGTGCTAGTATTAGTGCTGGAAGTTTAATTCCTAGAAACAAAACATGCTATGTTCAAAGAATATGTATTTCTTTTTCTTTTTTGGCCTTTTCTGTGCCCCAGATGTGCTTGTTTTTTGTGGTTTTTGGTAGTAGTGTTACTTTTTGTTTTGTTTTATTAAACTTTTTTTTTATTAGCATACATTAATAGTACAAGGGTAGGGTTTTTTTTATGTTTGTTTTCAGACACCATCATCCTGCCTCAACCTCCTGAGTGCTGAGATTACAGTGTGCATCATTATGGCTGGCCTTGTATTTACAAATTTTGATATTTGTTTATTGGCTGAAGGTTTTTAAAGTATAACTTGTTTGAATATTATAAAGGTCAACAAAATCCTAGCACCCTAAAATTTTGGTTTTAGGGTCTTTTGAGCTGAGTTTATTGTCAGGGTTTAGGTTTCAGGATTTTCTCTTTTCCCCAAACTGTGAAGAATTTGGGTATAAGTTCATAAGTTACTTTTCAGGATAAAAGGCGGTAAGTTTTTGTTAAATTTTCAATAATCTCTGTGATCCACTTGATAATCATTGCCTTAAGTCAGTCTCTAACTTATCAATTTGATTTTTTTTTTTCCTTTTGGTACTAGGGTTTGAAACCAGGGCCAGAACATGCTAAGCAAGTGCTTTACTGTTTGAGCCAACCCTTGTATTTTTTTGATTTTGTCTTTATTTTTGAGGTAGGGTCTTACTGACTTTGCTTGGGCTGGTTTCAAATTCAGGATCCTCCTGTCTTTGCTGCCTGAGTAGCTGGGATTACAGGCCTCTACTCCTTGCTTAAATAAATGTTTCTTTAGTACCTCTAAGTTGCTTAGTAATATACTGGGTTTTTGGCCTATACCAAAGAATAGAAGATACTGAAACTACTTTCAAGATACTTTTAAGCCACATAGAACAATTCTAAGTCAGCATCTAAGCAAGTAACATTTGTGGTTCAAAGATGTTACAGAAATGAATTTTTTTAAAAAGGCATTATTTGGTAGCTGTTTTACTGAGGCAATTTTCCTGAACAATAGGCAGGAATCATAGCTTTTTCTGTGACCCAGATTTTGTTTTTTTTTCCCATTGTTGTTATTTTTCATTTGGTTTTGTTTAGTTTTTTTGAGACTGGGTCTTACTATGTAGCCCAGGCTGGCCTTGGACTCTCGATTCTCCTGCTTCAGCCTCCTGAGTACTGAGATTACAGGTGTGGGCTACCATGCCCTCCCATAATATGTCCTTTAGTGAGGTTTTGTTTGTTTGTTTGTTTTTGTAGTACTGGGGTTTGAACTCAGGGCCTCATAGTTGGTAGGTAGGTACTCTACCACTGGAGCCACTCCACCCCTTTAGTGAGTTTTTAAGTGGACAAATGCATGGGATAAAGAGAGTTGTGAGCTTGGTAACAAGATCAGTGGAGAGAGACAGTTTTAAAAAACAAACAAAAAACAATAAAGAACCTCTCTGGAGCTGGCAGGGGTTGAACAGGGGCTATTCTGAGAAATAGAAAGAAATACATCACAGGTTATTGTGGACTTTAAACAGTATAGTACAGAATTGATTTTGATTCAGTTGTCAGTAGTAGTAAATCAGCAAAGAGGTCATGGTGACCCACTAAGAATGGCATTTTTGGGAAACTTACCGGTTAGCAAAATAGAGGCACAAAGACCAGCCAGCACCATTGTAGTAATTCAAGTATGAGGAGACGAGTCCCTGGAAAAGAGAAAAGATTAAATTCAGAAATATAGTAGAGAATTAATTAGTAAACTATGGAATTAATTGTTTGAAAGTTAGAGGATAAAAGTGGAGAGTGAAGAGGACTCAAAGTCTCTCCAAAGTCAAAGACAAGTTCCAAGTCTCTGAGCTAAAAAAAAAACTAAGGGAGTATTAGTACTTCCATTGAGAAGAGGCAAGGTGCAATAGTTCACATCTGTAATCCTAGCTGCCCTGGAGGTGGAGATTGGGAGGACTGCCATTTGAGGCCAACTCAGGCAAAAAGTTAGTGAGACTCCCATCTCAACAAACAAGCTGGGCATGGTGATATGAAATCTGTGATCCTTGGTAGGTGAGAGGATCACAGTCCCAGGTAGGCCCTGGGACAAAAACTCAAAACCCTATCTGAAAAAGGGAAAAAGCAAAAAGAGAGAGAGAGAGAGAGAGAGAGAGAGAGAGAGAATGTGTGTGTGTGTGTGTGTGTGTGTGTGTGTTTTTCAACTGGTAGAGTGCCTGCCTGCCTAGCGATCATGAGGCCCTGAGTTCAAGCCCCATACTACCAAAAAAAAAGAAAAATTGACAAGACAAGCCAGTTTGGGAAGAAAGAGGAGACAGGGAGATTGGAATAAAATATTAGCAGAGAGTGGAAGGAGTGTGTTGTAGTCAACTCAAGATGGAGATTAACGGGGCTCACATGGCTTGAGCACAGGCTCAAGCTACTTGGGAAGCTGAGATGAGGAAGATCGTGGTTTGAGGCCAGACTGTGCAAATATTTTGCACGACTGTATTTCCAAAATAACCAGAGAAAAATGGTCAGAAGGTGTGAATTAAGTAATTGTGGATCTGCTTCATAAACATGAACAACTGACCTGACTTACTTTTGGTTCTACCTTTCCTCAGATCAAAAATGTCCTCTTCGCTTTCTTCTATTGAGGTCCAATACATTGTTTTATATCCAGCTCAAATCCTACCCATTCTTCCTTGACCATCTGAGCTGGATGTACTCTCCTGATTCTAAACTCCTCAGGCATAACTGTGCAAGCATTATTGATTAAACCTTTAGTGCATATAGGAATAAGCTGTGAAGAATAGCAGACTGTTGCCGTTTGAATCTCAGTGAAGTATGTGACTCACTCATACTCTTTTGTAATTTGAAAGTTTCCATAATAACTAGTAAAATAAGAAAAGGAAAAAAAAAAAACTCAGTTGTAATATGTTTTTAAAAATATACTGGGGACTGGTGGAGAGGCTCAAGTTGACTAGTGCCTCCCTTGTAAGTGCAAAGCCCTGAGTTCAAACCCCAATATGAAGGAAGGAAGGAAGGAGGGAGGGAGGAAGGGAGAAAGGAAGCAAGGAAGTCAGCAAAAATACAGATGCCTTGCCGGGTGCCAGTGGCTTATACCTATAATCCTAGCTACTCAGGAGGCAGAGATCAGGAGGATCACTGTTTGAAGCCAGCCTGGGCAAACAGTTTGCGCTTGAGACCCTATCTCAAAAATACCCATCACAAAAAGGGCTGGCAGAGTGGCTCAAGGTGAAGGCCTAAGTTCAAGTCCCAGTACTGCAAACAAACAAAAAATACAGGTGCCTCACTCTTGGCCATTCTCATTCAGTAGGTCTTGGATGTACCTTGGAAGATCTTGATGTACAGCAGTTATTGTACTCTGCTGGTCTATTCCATTTAATTGACCCCTACCAGTGGAAACTTGATGTGAGATTTTAACCTCGTTTATTCCCAAATCATTTGCCTGATTCTGTGTAGGTGCCAGGAATTCAAGCAAGACATAGTCCTGCCCTTGGGGCACTTAAGTAGAGAGAGCTAAGCGTGCAAACAGTGCAATATGTGTTATAGGAAGCACTGAGCAATATGCTTTTGATGTGGATTAATTTGTTTAATTCTTACCATGGCTTTAATTCTCACCATCCCTCCCATGGATGAGGGAACTGAGGCTTGGAGAAGTTAGTCATTCAGCTAAAAATTCCTAAACTAAGATTAGAGCTCTGGGTATGTAACTCCAGGGATAGTAATTATAACCACTGTTTCTACCTTCCACCACTTAAAAAAATAATCAAAATTGATCATAAAAGTAAAATCAAGCATAAAATTATAAATTAAGTTTCAAAAACCAAGTACTTAAAATAAGCTATATTGGAACTCTGCCTTTGGGGGATTTTTTGTGTGAGCTGACTGAGACATTTGAAAAGAGGAGGCCATTTTGCCCATCACTTGGTGAATTCCCCTAAGTTTTGTTGCTCTTTGAACTATGTTAAAAATCAGGGCAACTTTTTTTTTTTTTTTTTTTGCAGTACTGGGGCTTGAATTCAGGGCCTATACATTGAGCTACCCCACCAGCCCTTTTTTGTGAAGGTTTTTTTCAAAATAGGATCTCACAAACGATTTGCCCAGGCTGGCTTTGAACTGCAATCCTCCTGATTTCTGCCTCTTGAATAGCTAGGATTGCAGATGTAGGCCACCAGAACCAGCTTACTCTTTTTTTTTTTTTTTTTTCAGATTTTTCTTCTATAAATTTTTTTATTAGGATGGATTCATTATGGGGGGGATTCAGTGACAATTCCGATTAGACTGACTTTGTACATTATTTACATTGCCTCCATCGTCTTTCCCCCTCAAGCCCCTCCCTACCCCGATTAAAGCAATTGCAAGAGGTTTCTTAGTTCTGTTTCAATAGGTATATGAAGTCCATCTCCCATATACCATCACCTTAATCTCCTTCCTTCACCCTCCCCCCACTAGTACCCCCCCACACCTCTTTTACAGTCCTGGTTTTTGTTACTAATATTTAAGTTGTTCAAAGGTGTGTCTCAGTGTATGCCCACTGTGAGTATACTTTACTTTGGTCCGTTTAACCCCTTCCATTACTCTCCCTTACCTCTTTACCTCCCACCCCCATTTTTCAACAGCTTTCAGTACACACCCTTATATCCTCTATCATCACATCTTATGTTAGGCAATATTACTGTTGCTCTAGCATTCTCTTTCTCTTTCCCTCTTTCCCTGAGCTCCGTAGAGTAGTTCCACTGTTACCAACATATTCTACATCTGAGTTTGTATGTGATTATGCTTGTTTTTGTGTATATGTTTATCTTAGGATCTATCTTCCATGTATGAGAGAAAGCATGCAGCTTTTGTGTTTCTGATCCTGTCTTACTTCACTTACCATGATGTCCTCCAGTTGCATCCATTTACCTTCAAACCACATGTCATTACTCCTTATGGCTGAATAGTACTCCATTATGTATAGATGCCACAATTGCTTGATCCGTTCATCAGTTGTAGGGTGCCTGGGTTGTTTCCAAAGCTTGGCTATTGTGAAGAGTGCTGCAGTGAACATCGTGTACAGCTGTCTGTACTATATCCTGTCTTAGGTTCCTTTGGGTAGATGCCCAGGAGCAGTATCACTGGATCTTATGGCAGTTCTGTTTTTGGTTTTTTGAGGAATCTCCAACTGCTTTCCATAGTGGTTGTACTAATTTGCATTCTCATCAACAGTGTATAAGGGTTCCTGTTTTGCCACATCCTTGCCAGCATTTTTGTTGTTATCACCCTTGATTCTGGCCATTCTAACTGGGGTGAGATGAAATCTAAGTGTTGTTTTGATTCGCATCTCCTTTATAACAGGGAAGCTGAAAATTTCTTTATGTATTTACTGACCATTTGTACCTCTTCCTTTGAGAATTCCCTGTTTAATTCATGTGTCCATTTCTTCATTGGGGTATTGATTCTTTGGGGGATGAGTTTTTGAGTTCCCTGTAGATTCTGGATGTTAGTCCCTTATTGGATGAATAGCTGGCAAAGATTTTCTCCCATTCTATGGCCTGTCTTTTGAGTCTGATGACTGTTTCCTTTGCTGTGCAGAAGCTCTTTAGTTTGATAGAGTCCTAAGGATGGCCTTTCTTGAAAGTATGTGTTATCCATTTGGTGAGTAGGAATGTTTCTAGAACTCTTTCTTGAGTGCTGTGTACTAGCAGACGTTTACCTTGCTGCTGCTAAGTAGAAAAAAGCTTGTTGAGGAGTCATGTGTCATCCTAGAAAGTTTGTGATTGCCTATGTTTTGCATCCTTAGAGCATCTCTGTATGGTATAATTTATTACCATTTTTATAGAGGAGGAAACCAAATACCTGATAGTTATTTTGTAGTCATATTAATCAGTCAGAGCCAGTGTTGTTTAGTTTCAAAAATCCATCTTCTTTTTTATCATGACAGAGACAGTGGGATATTGGTTTGAGGCTCAAAGTAGTCCTACCTGGAATAGTGAATTTAGAAGTCATCAGCAGGACTGGGGTGGTAGAGTATGTATTTTGAATGAGTGAAGCCCTGAGTTTGAGCCTCAGTACCCCGCAAAAAAGAAGAAAATGGCATCAGCATAACAGGCTAAAACTGTGGGAATGGCTGAGATTGCCTTGGGAGATTGTGTAGATTGAGAACTGACAAAAGGTGAGGACAGATCCCCCCAGGTTCTTGAGGACAAAGTCCTTGTCTTAGGTGTTTTGCAGAGTAGGCTTTTAATGAACACTGATTATTTATAATTTTAAAGACTGTGGCTTTAATACTGTTCTGATGACCTGAGTAGGTATATTGATGTGGCTCCCCTTTTCTTACCTAGAGGTGGTGTTTGTCATTCCAGGTTACCTAAAACCAGATCCATGGATGATCTTCTTTCTGCCTGTGACACAAGCAGCCCCCTGACTCGTACATCCAGTGATCCTAACCTGAATAACCACTGTCAGGAGGTGAGAGTTGGCCTGGAGCCCTGGCACAGCAATCCTGAGGGATCAGAGACAAGCTTTGTGGAATCTGGGGCAGGTCCTCAGCAGACTGTTGGAGAAAAGGGCCTTCCTCCCCCTCTGCCTAGCAGCCAGAAAGAATACCTGAGCAATAAACCTTTCAAGGGTCACAAAAACTGTTCTCTAAGTTATAAACTGCTTAATACTGCTGTGCCCCGGGAAATGAAGAACAACACCTCTGACCCTGAAGTTAAAGAGCTAGAAGAGACTAAAGTACCAGCTCCAGACCATCCTGCCCAGGATGAGCTGGGTAGGACTTTCAATGGGTCAGGGGGGCCACCTGACCATTGTCCTGAAACAGAAGCCATCAGTGTACTCTCAAAGGTTGTCTCTAGCAAGTGTGATGGAGTCTGTGATTTTTCTGAGTCTTCTCAGGACTCCCTTACAGGTACCCCCCAGAAGGCTCAACTAGCCTCTGTGCTAGGCATGCCCCCTAGATGTACTATGGATCACAGTCTGGGTAGTCTTTGCAACCCACTGAGTGCCACTTGCCAAACTCTTCCAGAGCCAAGTGCTGATTTGCCCAGCCAAGATCCCCCAGTGTCTATGGCAAGTATCTCCCACCAGAAACAGCCCAGTTCTATGCTGGATCTGATCCATAGAGAGGAAGATACTGGCAAGAGAGGAAATAATAGGAATGGACAGTTACCGGAAAATCCGCGCTTTGGAAAAATGCCATTGGAGTTGGCCCGAAAACCAATTTCTCAGAGCCAGATCAGTGAGTTCTCTTTTCTGGGGTCCAACTGGGACAGCTTCCAAGGGATGGTGACTTCATTCCCAAGTGGGGAGACTACCCCTCGGCGGCTGCTTTCCTATGGCTGTTGTAGCAAGAGGTCAAGCAGTAAGCAGATACGTGCCATGGGGCCCTGCTTTGGGGACCAGTGGGCTCAAAGAGAAGGTGTAAAGTCACCTGTCTGTTCTAGTCATTCCAATGGACATTGTACTGGCCCAGGAGGAAAAAACAACCGGATGTGGTTGGCTAGTCACCCAAAGCAAGTCTCCAATACAAAACCTGTTCTTCCGAGCTGCCCTTCTCCAGTGCCTCCTTTCTACTTGGATGATGATGGACTCCCCTTTCCCACGGATGTGATCCAGCATAGATTACGGCAAATTGAAGCAGGGTATAAGCAAGAGGTGGAGCAGCTACGTCGACAGGTGCGTGAGCTTCAGATGAGACTGGATATCCGTCACTGCCGTGCCCCTCCAGCAGAGCCCCCCATGGACTATGAGGATGATTTTGTAAGTATTCACCAACTGCCATCCATCCATTCAACATTTATTTGTTGACTACTTGTGTGCAACTGAGTTAGGTGCTTAAGTTATAGGATGAAAAACAAGTCAACAACTAGAATGATGTTTTAAGTGTTATGATTTGGGGAGTGTTAGGGGGCTGGAGTGGAGCAAAAGGTAAAGACTTTCCTAAGAAGATAATACTCAAGTACTAAAGAATGTGTGATATTTAGCTAGGTAGACAGTGTAAAGAGAACACGATTTTTAAAGCATGGTGTCAATGGATACTCCAATGGTATGGCTTAAACAAAGGGGTGGGATGTGTGCATGCATGTATACACACTTGTGCTGGGACTATGAGGGAGAGTTGGGTGGTGTGGTGTGATGGGAGGCGACACTGGAGAATTAGAAAGGGATTGGAAGGGTCAACTTGCATACCCTTCTTGTTTGCCCTTAAGGCAGTGAAATGGTAGGCCAATGAGTAACATGATCAGATTTGTATTTTAAGGAAACTACTCTAGCAGCAGTGTAGAATATTGATGAGGCGATTGAGACCTAGACTGGGAGACTTGTTAGGACATTTTAGAATAATGCAGATGAGAGATGTTGAGGTCCATCCAGGCTTTACTGCCCTGGGCTGTTAGGTTCTGACTCTGCAGTGCTGGGGAGCTCCTAGGAGGCATCTTCTGCCCTTTAATATCTTACTGTCTACACAGGTACCTCCCTTTCTTCTATTAAAGCACTCCAGTAGCCTGCTGCCCACTTCTCTGCTAGTGGAATGAATAGAGCTAATAGTCTATTCAGGGTATTCAGGGTGATACTTTAAGGAGGAATTTGCCAACTTTTTTTTTTTTTTTTAAGCCAGATTGAAATATTTTAGGTTGGATGGGCCATATGGTCTATGTCACAACCATTCAGTGTGGCCTGTATAGCACAAGAGCAGCCATTGATGATATTTAAATGAATGAATGTGGCTGTGTTCCAATAAAACTTGATTTTAAAAACAGGCTGGATTTGGCTTGTGGGCCATAGTTTTGCCAATGCCTGGTTTAGGATTGTAATAAAAGAAAAAGTCTTTCTACTCTGTGGTATAGCATATTGGTTAAAGCCATGGCGCTGAAGCCAGAATTCCAAGTCCAAATTCCAGCTTTACCAGTTACTAGCTCTTAACTTTCTCTGTGGCTTAATTTCTTTATTTGTAAAATGGATATAACATGGTAAGTTTGTTGTGGAGAACTGAATAAGTTCATGCATGTAACATAGAACAGTGTCTGACACATAGTAAATAAAAGTACTAGTGACGATGAAGATGATGTTGATGTCTTTGCCTATTTTTCAGACGTGTTTGAAGGAATCAGATGGCAGCGATACAGAGGATTTTGGCTCAGATCACAGTGAAGACTGCCTTTCAGAAGCAAGCTGGGAACCTGTTGATAAGAAGGAAACTGAGGTATGTCTAAGCAAATGTGTGGTAGGTATGTAAGCAAGCCAATAAGTGATATTTCTCAGAGATGAGTTGATATGCTGTGACCTGAGCTCTCCCCCAGATGAATGTCATCTTTGTAGGCAAGCAGTGGCCAGTCATAAAGACTGCACTGCTTTCCTTATAGCAGTACTGCTCTTCCACTCTGTTGACAAGGATCTGCAATTTTTCTTTGTGCCTTCTATTAGGTGACTCGCTGGGTTCCAGACCATATGGCATCACATTGCTATAACTGTGACTGTGAATTCTGGTTGGCTAAACGAAGACACCATTGCAGGTAAGATGTTTTATGATTCAGTATGACTCACAAAGCAGTACAGTACATATGTATAGAACTAAATTGAATTAATCTGAGAATGGAGACATCTTTATAGGAACTATTTTTGTTCACTCCCAACCTTTTTATTTATTCATGAAAAGCCATTTGTTTGTTTGTTTGCTTATTGCAGTACTGGGGTTTGAACTCAGGGCCCCACACTTGCTAGGCAGGCACTCTACCCCAGTTCTCATGGAAAGCCTTTTAGACTATCATTCATTTTTGGTGCATTGGCATTTCTCATGAATTTGTCCCTCTTTGTGCTCTGGCAGAAATTGTGGGAATGTATTTTGTGCTGGATGCTGCCATCTGAAGCTGCCCATTCCTGATCAACAGCTCTATGACCCAGTTCTTGTCTGTAACTCATGTTACGAACACATTCAAGTATCTCGTGCCAGAGAACTCATGAGCCAACATCTGAAGAAACCCATTGCTACAGCTTCCAGTTGAATGCCCAAGGAGAAGACCTGTCCAGTTTTAGCAGGTTTGAAGGGAAGATCTGCTTCAGGTGTAGTTTGGAAGGTTCCTTGGTGTGGCTCATGAAATCACAGAGCTCAAAGATACCGTCTTGAGAAATCCTCCTTGGTACCATGAGACTGGAGCAGAGGAATTTCAGTTTTGCAGGAGGTCTTCTGCTGGGGAGTACCTTACCTTGGGGTCCTGATCCAGTCCCAGAATCTGGACTCTTAACATTGAGTTGGTGACTCCAGCTTCTTTCTCCTGGAAGTCACAGATGATGATTTCATAGATACTGCCTGGTGCAAAGTGCCCAAACAGCAATAGAAAGGCATATGTATAACCAAACTTCAAGTGATTACCAGACCCATCTCTCCACCTTGAAAAAAAGCAGATTATAGAATACAAGATAGGACTTCCTATCCTATTTGAGATGAACTCTATTCTGTACCTCTGTGCTCTGTGTCTGTGCATGAAGGCTCAGTCTTTAGAGGCACTCCCTCTAGTTGCATTAGTACTGTCTTTCTGTGGAGTTTGGTTTAAAGACTGGTTTGGCAAGTGGAGGTTTCAATGTATTTTTCACTTGGCTCATAGGCCACCATCAGTGAACACTTGAGGGACAGTTCTTGGGAGTAACACATTTTTGGGAGTAGAGGAAAACTCTAGTTGGCAAAAATCAATTATTTTGAGCTGCGAAGGCAGTTGTCACTCTACTATGCAGCTCTTAAGTATGCACTGTGAAGAATGAGAAGGGAAAGCAAAAATTATCTTCGTGAAATATCTGCTGATTGTGCCCTACCCTTCGCGCCTGACTTTTCCTAGTTATCCTGGTGCTAACACAGGAGCTACACCTTGATCCTCTCCTGGCATGAAAAAAAAAAAAAAAACAAAGGTTTTTGTTGTTGTTCCATTACCCACTTCCCCCATGTTGTCTTTCCCTTGGCTGCTGCCTCCTCTGGGTCATACTGCTTCTTATCCTGAACACTTGACACCTTGAGGGTAGAATTTAGCATTTGGTTTTTACCTCCTAGAATATGCTGTTTGGTATGTGAGGGTTTCAGTACAAATGCTGCTGTCTATTTCTGTGCACTTAACAATGGAACCCAAACAGAATAAAGCCTTGATACCAAAATTGGGAGAGAAAATGTGTCCATTTGGACCAAACATTTTTTTTTGGGGGGGGGGTGTTTTGATTTTGTTTTTTCATCTTAATATTTACCAGTGGCACTTAACCAAAAGATACAGTGATATAGCCACATACCATGGTTGGGACAGATACAGTCTCCTTGGCCTATAATGAAACCATTAGGATTTCCTTTATACATTTTCCTTAATTCATTGATATATAAAAGGTAAATTACATTTAAGCTTATCTTGTTTTAAAACTATGGTAGCTTTCTTTCTCACTGTTATTTTGATGTTGCTTTCTAGAAAAATCTGTTTTCATTCCAAAATAACTAGAATCTGCATTTGAAATAAGATTTGTCATGACCTTTTCTTCAGTCCTACAAGAAGCATCTGTGCTGCTTTTATACTTGCCATTGGATGTAGCCTAAAAAGTTTTGGCATATTTAGGTCAGCATAGCATAACTTTTTTTTTTTTTTCCATTTAAATGGAGCTGAATAATGGAGATTTTTGTGCCTGGAAAATTCCTGAGATCATTGAAAAAGTAACAAACTATTCCTTGTCTCTGATACATAAAATTCTTTTAAACATTTTCTCAATCATTACAATTTACTGCCAGTTGTGGCTTTTTAATTCAACTTTTTTTTTTTTTTTTTTGCACTTCACTGCCTGTGTTTGGGGGAGATTGGTGACATTTGGGGACTGTATCTGTCTTTGTGTAGCTTTTGAGGGACTGTCCCATCAATGAACAAACTGCATGGCCTTGGAGAGAGACTGTGGGCTCTTGGCTCAGATTATTCATCAACTACTCCTTTAAGAGCTGTTGTGGGTGTAAGTGACACGATGTGGCCAAAAATCCAAACTGTGCAGTTGCGTTGTGGCAAACATGCAATGTGCTGTAAAAACTCAATACAGTTTAAATAAAATCTCTATATTAGTGCTGCTTTGTTGGGTCTTTTTATTCATTTTAATTTCTAAGAAAACGTAAATTGTTTTGTTTTGTTTTTTGACCATGATAAAAGACTCATATCCCTTTCCAATAATTTCCTGTGTTAAAATAGACTTCTGTTTTCATCAGCACAGCCCATTACATTTGTATTTAGCCATTAGATAGAATTCTCCCCATCTCAAGTGAGGTTCATTTCTCTTCGGCGTGTGAAATGCCGCCAGCTGGTTGAACGAGCACATAGAATTGTATTAATATTCTCTTGATTCCCTTCTGCCAGACACCTCAGTTCTCATCTAATCTTGCGTAAGTTGACTTGAGAATAATACTGGCTTCCAACAGTCTATTCTTAAGGGTATAAAATGCCACTATCTAAAAGGCGTTTCATGTACTGAGGATGTTGTGCCTTGCCCCCGTTTTTTTTACTTGGAGAGACCAGCAGTTCAGTCCGACTGTTGGTGAAGATGAGGGCTGGCCCCTCGGTTCTAAAGACCTGGCTCTCTACTGTCCAGTGCACACTCCATTCTGAGTCCCCACCCGCTGCCTGGGCTGGAGGGCCCGACCCTTCCACCCTTAGTATTCTGCTGTGTTTAACTGGGCTTCTTTCTTCTCAGGACTTCGAACTCCCCAGCGTGGGAGGCCATTTGGAGGGAAAGTGGCCTTGTGGCCACAGTGTGTCATGCTGCCGCCTGCTCAGGCCGCGCATCACCGAGGGGAGGGCCAGCTCGTGCCCCATAGGCCGCGCGGCCCAACTCGAGGCCCGATTGGCTGCGCCAGGGGGCGTGCCAGGGAACTCGTGCGCCAACGGTCCCTGGGTCCTTGGCGGCCGGGTGCTGGCAGGAGGGGGCAGGGCGAAGCGAAGGCCCCGGGATCGAGAACAGTGGGAGAGCCAGGCTCGGTGGGGCGAGGCCCAGGGCCGGGCGGGGCGATGGAGGAAGCGCTGCTCTCCACCCCCATCAACCCCAACAACTTCCCCGCCAAGCTGTGGCGGTTGGTGAACAGCCCCCGGTACAGCTCGATCCGCTGGGACGGCCGAGGAGAAGGGCTGCTAATCGACCAGCCGCTCTTTGAGGCCGAACTGCTCAGCCCACCTGGGCCGGGGTCTGGAAGCGGTGCTGGCGCCGGGGCCGGTGGCAGTGGTGGCAGCAGCGGCATCGGGCCCGCCGGCGCAGAGCCAGAGCTTTTCAAAACCACCAACTTCACCAGCTTCATCCGCCAGCTCAATCTCTACGGCTTCCGCAAGGTGGTGCTGGGCGGGCCGGGCTCGGCGGGTCCCGGGGCGGGCGGGCCAGCCGGCGACGGGCCGCTCCACCACTTCTACAGCCCGCACTTCCGCCGCGACCAGCCGCAGTTGCTGGTGCACCTCAAGAGACTCACCAGTGCCAACAAGGCCAAGCTGGCGGCCGGCCTGGAGGTGCCCTGCCGGCCGCCCAACCGCTTCCAGAGGCTGCTCATCACCTCGGCTTCGGCCTCGGCCTCCACCTCCCCCCTGCAGCACCAGGACCCACTGCCGCCGCCCGCAGGGCCCCGGCCCGAGCCGCACGGTGAGTTGGGGCCCTCGCCCTGCATCCGCAACATCCTCGACTTAGTGGAGTCTGACATTATAGGTCCCATCACTTCCATCATCTCTCGGGGGCCAGCACCCCAGGGCCCCCAGTTAGCATTTAGCCCCCAGTGTCCACTAGCAGCAAAAAGGACCTCTGCTGTAGGCTTTCTTCCCAGTCTTCCCCAACAGTGGAACCCCCAGGAGATTCCTGTTTCCAAACCTCTGTGGCCATGTGTCTTCCCAAGACCCGACGTACTCGCTGTGAACATCTAGAATAAGTAGCCCTTTGTTGAAGCACTGTCTTTGAAAGAAACCCAGAAAGGCCACTGTTGCTCCAGCCGGAAGCAGAGCAGAGTCACTCCATAGGCTAAGGCAGGAAGGGACAAAGTCACAGCCAAGAAAACTTAAAACATTAAACCAATCGACGGAAAGTGGAAAAGGTACCTTGTGTGGAAGTTTGTCCTTGAGTGGACATGCTGTCTTCCACCCGTTGGTACATATTAAGAATCGTGGAAAAAGTGTTATAATACCCATGTTTAAGATTCCAAGTGATGTGTAGAATGGTAGACATTGTACGTAATGGCAAAAAATACAATTAGACAAAGTTTACAAACTGTTGTTCCTATGCAGAATCAATTGGCTAAACATTTCTTTAGTTACCTACAGCTAATTATAGCTTGATGCTTACTTGAAGTGTTATGGTTAGACAAAGCAAAATGGTTTTCCTTCTAGCTGTCAAGTTTTAGTTAAAATGAATTTTAGGAAACACACATTCATGACCTTTGAATTGGTGGCAGCCTGTCAACATCGAGAAAACTTTTGATAAACCTGTATCTCATAAATGTTCAGAAACCCTTGGTGATAGTGAATTATTTTATGGACTTGATTTGGGACATTTTTCCGCTCTTCTAGGAAGAGGAGTGTGGCAATATTCCTTTTGTGTTTAAAGAGTCCATGGTATGAAGCAGTAGATCAAGGAAGCAACAGAATATAATAGATTTAATTCACCTTCAACTAGGAAAGAATTAGAAACATTTTTGGCATGTTAACAGACTTAGCATTAGGACATTTGAGTTATTTTTGAATTATGAAAATTTTAAATATACAAATAGCATTATGTTCAATTTAACCTCTGCCCAGTGTGGAGCCACTACTTTGTTCATTTGGAATTTAGAAGATAAGTGACTAGGTTGTATGTCTGTGGAGTTTAGAAGATAAGGAACTAGGTTAGAGTTCTAGTAACAAGTTGGGAAAATAGCAGTGGTATAGGAATGTTCTAAAGGAATTCTAAAGGAATATCAAGCTGCTTCTACATGATGGCCATTGATTTAGAGGGGGAATTGTACAGGGAAAGGCATTGGAGACGAATCCATGGAATACATTTGGCAGAAACTCTAACATGGATATATATATATTTCTTTCTTCTTTCTTTTCATTTTTTAGCATTAATTTTTTCCGGGTTGTGTCTCTTAAGTGGGCGGAAGGAAAAAAGACTGGGAAATGTATTTTGAGGAGAAGTGGGATAACCACTTCAAACAAAGAAACCAACTCTTGCTCACTTTTCTCTTTGATCTTCCTTTTCCCTCACCTATCTTAAAATCAGCTATTTTTTGCTTTTTTGGTGGGGGGCAGTACTAGGGTTTGAACTCAGGGCCTTACACTTCCTAGGCAAACACTCTGCCACTTGAGCTATGCTCAAGTTAGCTTGTTTTCTAAGGATAGAGTCCATGCCAGGAACTGGTGGCTCATGCCTGTAATCCTAGCTACTTGGGAGGCTGAGATCAGGAGTATCAAGGTTCAAGATCAGCCCAGGCAATTAGTTCTGGAGACCCCGTCTCCAAAATAACCAGAGCAAAATGGACTGGAGCAGTGGCTCAAGCGATAGAGCACCTGCTTTGCACTTAGGAAGTCCTGAGTTCAAACCTCAGCCCTCCCCCCAAATAAATTTAAAAAAAATGAGGATAGAGCCTCGTTTAATTGAAAAAGCAGGCTATGTAGAATCTGATTTTATTCACTTATAGTTGAGTTGGTCAGCATTTTAAAGATTACATTTGTTGAAAAGCATAAGTTCATACATAATATATGAGTACACATACATGTATGCATACCTAGTTTGGTATTTTCATGCATTTCCTATTTTGTACCTATTGGTGTGTGCAGAAGGATGTCTGATGTTGGTTTTCTACACCATCAGCTTGGTTCACTAAGCAATTGTGTTACTGGTTCAGGTGGAATGTAGTTAAGTTGTAGGTTCAGGGATACTGGCACAACTTTGTTTTGTTTCCTTATATGTTCTAAGTCCTTAGCTCTTCTGTTTTTCCTCACCTATTTTTTTGATGGTATTGGGATTTGAACTCAGGGCCTCTTGCTACTTGAGCCACTCTGCAAGCCCCTTTTTTTTTTTGGATGGTTTTTTTGGAGATAGGGTCTTGTAAACTATTTGCCTGGGGCTGGCCTCACCTAATTTTTTTTCTGCTTGAACCTTGCCTTGGTTATCTCTCTGACAACACTGCTGCTTCCTAGTTTCCATTTTGTTTTCTGTAGTCTACTTTACCTTATGGTTCAAATACTTCTCTTTTTCAGTAGAATCATCATTTTAGGAGCTAGTCCTTTTATTTAGGTTCATTAAGCCAACTGTCACTTGATAAGAAATGTGAAAATCCTCTTTTTCTCTTTTTTTATGTGTCCATTTTTGTTATTTTGCTTTTAGAATAATTTATTTTCCAATATTTGTTAAAATGTTCTAAACTAAGTAGTAAGCCTGTGAAGTACATAATATCTCTTTGCCTGGACACAAGTTCTCAACACACAAGTTTTAGGGTTCTTTCCTGGGTATTGATTAGTTCACTTTCATTTCCAAAAAAGCAATAGAATCTTTAAAAACAAAAATCCTTCCTGCTCTAATATTTGTGGATTTAAACTTTTCCAAATATATCTCAAAAAATATTTTGAAGACATAGTAGGTGATACTTTGCAAAGTTGGTCAGAATAGAGTCCTATGAGCTATCCCTTAACAGAAGAAGAAAGAAGAACTGAACATGTTTTAGTTCTTTATTTAACAACTAAGTGTGTGTGTGTGTGTGTGTGTGTCAAATGGTAGAGTGCCTGCCTAAGAAGTGTGAAAGCCCTGAGTTCAAACCTTAGAAAAGCCAAATAAACCCCCAAAACAAACCAACAGCAATAACAAAAAAAAAAAACCTTAAAGGAATGTTTAATCCTGATAGTATTCTTAGATCATCAGTATCTAAAATAGATAACTGCTAACAGAGTTTATCATGATAGAAACAATTTATATTTCAATTCAGATTTAAATTAGAATTTGAGCTATCAAGTTGGAAAATTCTTTAATTAGCTGCTTAAGGTTTTTTGTGGTTTTTGTTGTTTTTTGGTGGGACTGATGTTTGAACTCAGGGCTTTATGCTTGCAAAGCAGGTGCTCTACAACTTGAGCCATGCCTCCAGTTCATTTTGCTCTGGTTATTCTGGATATAGGGGTCTCAAAAACTATTTCCCTGGGCTGGCCTCAAACTGTAATCCTACAGATCTCAACATCCCAAATAGCTAGGATTACAGGCATGAGCCACCAGCGTCCAGCAGCTGTTAAAGTTATTGACAAGCTGAAGGTTCAGCAACAGCTTGTCCCTGAAGAGGTCAGGACACTTTAGGCAACTTGTGATTTTGGCATATGAAGCATCCAGGGAGAAATCAGGTGGGGAACAGTTAAGGTCACTCAAATGCCTTTTGCGAAAAGTAATAGTTTCTTTAGGAAACCAAAGGATTGTCAGTGATGAGTTCAAAGTGTGTATATATGTGAAATAGTCAGGTAGTGTCATAACTATTTTTGTACTTTAAAGGGAAGATTTTTTAAGAGATGTGTCATTTAAATATATTCAGTCTTCTAAATTAGGAATTTTTTTTCCCATTAGGTAAGAGCTTTTGGTTCCCAGGGCTCCAGAATTTCTGTTACTAGTATGTGTGTATATAAATTTGTTTATTCTTGCCATTAATGCTTTATGTTTATTTATTGGTGGTACTGGGATTTGAACACAGGACTTCACACTTGCTAGGCAGGTGCTCTATCACTGGAGCCATACCTGCAGCCTTTTTTGCTCTGGTTATTTTGGAGATAGGATCTTGCTTTTTGCCCATACTGGCCTGGATGGTGATCTTCCTATGTCAGACTTCCCTCTGTTCTTGTAGCTGGGATGACAGGCACGCACCAGCATGCCTAGCTTTTTTTCCATTGAGATGGGGCCTCATGAACTTTTTTCCCACCTGGGGTGGCTTGGAACCCCGAGCCTCCTGATCTAAGGAAATCCCATAGAAAATAGAAATGTGTGTAACATATTCAATGGTTTGTAATCTAATTCTTTGGCAATTTAAATATCTGAGTGGTATCTTTCAACATGTAGTTTAGCACTTGAGTAATACATAAGTTGGGTTTTCCCTCTGTTTTACAGATTAGTTTAATAAAATACAAGGAATTTGTGAATCAATTTAATACACAAAACCCTCCTTAAGAATAATTAGGCTAGCTTTTTAAAAAAATCATAATCTAGAAAATAATCTAGCCTACAATTCTTCCTTTCCTCATTTTATTTTTTCCTTTTTTCCCTTTCTACCTTGCTAGCTAAGGGAAAGCAAATATTTGCATGAGAATCTCTGAGCCTGGGTATTTAGATTTTTAAATAGCTGTTCCTATGATTCAGATGTAAACCAGTGCTTGATTGAAGGCCACTGATATTTGGGAAAGGATACTACTAAAGAAAATTAAAAGGCCAGGATTGGAGGTAGCGCTCTCGCCTAGCATGTACAAGGCTCTGATATGATTGCCAGCACTGCAAAAGAAAAAGGGAAAAAAGACCATGGAAAATGATTGTTTGGGTAAAGAAAACTAAAGGAAAAATTTTAAGCCTAACTTTTCTACAGAGATTATCTTTTTTTTCAAAAAATTGAAAGGAAGCAAATACTTCATTTCTTTTTTGTTTCATGTTATAATGCTTATTTGTTGTACACATTTATTTTATGTTTATGATAGAGCATATTTTCCTGCTCATTATTTAGGTTCCTAAATGCTTTGAAAGAATGAATGGAAAATTTCTAGGCAGTAGCTTACACATTGGAAAAATCTGAGTCAGACAGTTGAGGTAAAAGGTAAGATGGCTGAATCATCTCCAAAAGGCTTTCTACACTGGATATTTGATTTAACCTTTGATTTAATATTAGGGTTTGTCCACTTTACCTCTTATGGTATTCATTTTGAGAACTAAACAAGTTTAGTTGGTCATTCTTTCAGCATGACATGAACAGTCTCATATTCTGAATTCTGAACTTGTTTTTACCACAGTTAAACTTCTGTTGTGTTAAAAATAGCTGATAGGTGAACAGTAGAGTATTTTTTGACCTTTGGTCTACTATGGTTTGCTATGTTTGTTAGTGTAATGTAAAATAGTAAATATTCTCTTCCTCTTTTTTTGCAGGATCAGTGGCTGTAGGACAATTTCACCGGTCATTCCGGCGAGATAGTTTGTCTCCTTATTCCTATGTATCAACTTCATCCCACAACCACAGCACCTTCCCTCTGAAAGGTTTAGATCGGACCCCAATTCCTCCTAGAACATGGCAGAACTCCCTTGGAATGCACCCTGGACAAGTGGAGACATCTCCTACTTTTTCAGATAAAGGAGTTCCATTTCCTGTACTGCAGAGATTTCCCACTGAGGTTACCTATACGTTGCAGCCCAGTGCCACATCTGTACATGTTCAACAAGGTACTCAAACAATGGTCAGCTCCTCCCAAAAATATAGTAACTACACACCCTCAGCACAGTACTCCCAAGCCTACTATCCAACAGGTATGAGAAATTCAAGTTTACTGACTTCTATTAAAGTAGTTTATAACACATTTATATTTTTATCTTCATTTTAATCTCTGTGTGCTTAAAGACAAATAGTAGGAATATATACCTAAGAAATGTCAAAGATTTCTTAGCAGGACATATTTTTAAACAATATATAAAGTTGCACTGCATTCTTAAGGATTGTAAAAGTTCTCGGTACATAAAGATGTATGTTTTTAGTGAAATGAAATGTTTGTATCCTCAAAATGCATTCTAGATATGAAATTAAGACTTAGTGCCCTGGAACCTTGCTTTAACTCCACCTTTTTTTTTTTTAGGTTTTTTTTCTTTATTCGCTTATTCATATGTGCATATATTGTTTGGGCCATTTCTCCCCTCTGCCCCCCAACCCTTAACTCCACCTTTGGTGCTGTGTTCATTTCTTTCTTTTTTTTTTTTTTTCTGTGGTACCTGGGGCCTACATTTTGAGCCATTCCACCAGCCCTTTTTTGTGAAAGGTTTTTTCAAGATAGGGTCTCACGGAACTGTTTGCCCAGACTGGCTTCAAACCACGATCCTCCTGATCTCTGCCTCCTGAGTAGCTAGGATTACAGGTGTGAGCCACAGGTGCCTGATTTCAATTTGTTTTGAAAAAAATATAGGGGCAATGAGTATAGCTTAGTGACAGAGCACTTGCCTGGTATGCACAAGGCCTAGTACTGTAATACATATATACACATATATATGTATGTGTTTAACATTTTATATTTTGAAATTTTTTTTTTTCCATTTTTCTTTTATTATTTATATGTGCATACAAGGCTTGGTTCATTTCTCCCCCCTGCCCCTATATTTTGAAATTTTATAGGTATGATTGCCTCATAGTGAAATCATTTTAGTATGTCAGAAATGAAGTTCAATTAAAAATACATACTCAGTTGGGGGTATGGCCCAAGAGGTAGAGTGCCTTCCTAGCAAACATAAGTCTCTGAGTTCAAACCTGAGTACCACCAAAAAGCCAAAACCCAAAGAAAACAAATACTCTCTGAAAATTCTTTAGTAAAATGTGGTGAATAGTGGATATTCATCCAGCCAACAGAGAACAACGGAGTAACAGATAAGAGAAACTGAAAATGACAACTGATCTAGAGTTCAACCAAGGATGTTGAGGACATGCTATTGGAGCCCAGTCATTAATTGGGAATCCTTATGATAATGACCATCTGTTTTGGTTTTTTTTGGAAAAAAAGTGTTTTTTTGTTTTATTTTGTTGTGTTTTTTTGGTGGTATTGGGGTTTGAACTCGGGGCCTTGCACTTGCCAGGCAGGTACTCTACCATTTGACCCCCAGCCTTTTTTGCTTTGGTTATTTTTGAGATAGGGTCTCGCTTTATGCCCAGGTCAGCCTGGACTGCATTCTTCCTTTTTGTGCTTCTGTGCTAGATGGAATGCCAGGTGTGCATCACTATACCCAGCCATTGGTTGTGATAGGATCTCACAAACTTTTTGCCTAGGCCTCAAACCTCCATCTTCCCAATCTCTGACTCCCAAGTAGCTAGGATTATAGGCTTGAGCCACTGCACCTGGCCTTTGGGTGGGGGGAACTGGTTTTATTTTGAGGGGGGGTGCTTGGCACTATTGGGGTTTGAAGTCAGGACGTCATGCTTGTTAGGCAGGTGCTCTACCACTTGAACCTCCCCACAACCCTTTCTGCTTTAGTTATTTTTCTAATAGGGTCTTGTTTTTTTTTTTTTTTTTTTGCGAAGGCCATCCTGGACGACTATCCTCCTATTTATACCTCTCTTGTAGCTGGAATGACAGGTATAGGCCACCACACCCAGCTTCTTGGTTGAGATGGCATCTCGATAACTTTTTGCCCAGGCTACCCTTGAACTGCAGTCTTCCTAATCTTTACCTCCTGAGTAGCAAGGAGATTACAGATTTGAACCACTGTATCCATCCATATATATCTATGTCTATTTATCTATCTATATACATACAGATATAGATATACATACACATATATGTGTGTGTATATACACACATGTAAATATATGTATACACACACACATATACATGTATATATATGTGTGTGTGTATATAATTTATTTATTTTGGAGAGATTAATACTGGAGTTTGAACTCAGGGCCTTGTGCTTGCTGGGCAGGCACTCTGTCACTTGAATCAAACCCCTTGCCTTGTTTTTTCAATTCATTTTTGCAAGTTAATAGTCTTTCATTCAAATTTTTTTCTGTTTTGCAGAAACACCATAGTATGTGTTTCATCATGTAGTATCCTTTACACAGAATAATGGAATAATAGAAACAAGACAAGGGTCAAAGCTTTCAGAAAAACCAAAGAAAGAAGAAAGGGGCATTCCTTTGCCCCGTGAATGAAGAATCTGGGAGTACTGATTTTCTCTTTTCTTTTTTTTGCTGTACTGGGGTTTGAACTCAGGGCCTTCACCTTGAACCACTCCACCAGCCCTATTTTGGTGATGGGTTTTTTCAAGACAGGGTCTCGTAAACTGTTTGCCTAGGCTGGCTTCAAATCATGATCCTCCTGATCTCTGCCTCCTGAGTAGCTAGGATTACAGGTGTGAGCCACCAGCACTGATTTTCTTAGTTATGTAGATCTGGAAGCAGTCTCTGAAGGTATTTCATTACACCATTTCTCCCAGGGAGGACTAAACAAAATAAATGAAAGGACTGCATATTAGAAAAGAGAATTAAATAATTTGTTGTCACTTAAAAGTTGTAAATCTGGCCTGCCATAAAGTGGCTTACTTATAATCCCGGCTACATGGGAGGCTGAGATCAGGATTATGGTTAAAGGCCATCCTGGGCAAGTAGTTCTCAAGACCCCATCTCCAAAATAACCAGAGCAAAAAATGGACTGGAGCTGTGGATCAAGCAGTAGAGTGCCTGCTTTGTGAGCTCAAAGGCCTGAGTTCAAACCCTAGTCTCACCAAAAATAAAAATAAGAGTTGTAAATCTGGTGACTGTTCTATTAGTAATAGTATTTGCTATTTTCTGGCTGTTAAAATCCAACTGTATGGTGTGTGCTAGTGGCTCATGCCTGTAATTCTAGCTACCTGGGAGGCTGACATTGGGAGAATGGAGATTTGAGGCCAGCTCAAGCAAATAGTTCACGAGACCCCACCTCCAAAATAACCAGAGCAAAATGGACTGGAGGTTTGGCTTGAGTGGTAGGACTCCTGCTTTATAAGCACAAAGTCCTGAGTTCAAACTCCAGTACCACAAAAAAAACCGAAATCCAGCTATATACTTGTATTATTGGCTCTTGCATTCTACTTAAATATGAAAGTAAAAGGGATTGCTTTATTATCCCAGAAATTAAGTCAAATCATATTAAAATAACAAAACCAGCTGGCAGAGTGGCTCAAGTGGTAAGAGCGCCTGCCTAGCAAGCATGAAGCCCTGATTTCAAACCCCAGTGATGTAAAAAAAAAAACAAAAAACAAAAACAATTTAAATTGGGTTGGGTTTTATAGGATTTTAGAGCTGCTAGTTTTTTGGTAGATGGAGTTGAGAAGGAAAAGGGGGAGAGAATTGTATGGAGTAAGAATGATTTAGTATTTTAATCATTTTGTCTGTTAGTAGAAGGCGAAAGATTCATACTGCCTGAAGAGAAACCAGAGTATCATTTCACCCGTTAGAAAGTTTAAAAAAAAAAAAAAAGGAAAATATTTCTGTTTTATGTAGAAAATGGTCTGAGGCCCAATATTTTTCCAGATTTGTAGTATTTCTTTGAAGAAAAAAAATCTGTGCATTCTTGAAACAGATGACTAATATCTTATAAGTTATATATATATATATACATATATATATATATATGTATATATATATATAAGTTATAGATCTTAAATGTAACAACAAATAGGGTCATGTTTTTATTACTGGAGAGTTAATTCCAATAATTTAATAAACAAATTAGGCATTGCTATCTAAATTATTATTTCTACTACATTTCATATATGCACAGAATATATATATTTAGAGAAAGAGAGAGAGAGAGAGAGGCAGTTTCTGTCTTATACTTGTTTTAGATTCTGTAGTCCAAATAAAGAATTCTTCTACAGCCCTTCCTTTCACCAATGTTTCCCATCCTTAAACTTCTAAAGACTTGAAAGCTTCTGGGGAGTTGAAATTTGGAAAGACTGCAGCAGGGACATATTGAGTAAATGTTCTCTGACCTTCCAATTTGGAATTTTGGAGGCATTTTCCTATGGAAATATTAAGTATGGCAACTTGGATGCTATTATTAACAAAATCTTAAGGTACAGATGATTATAGTCTGGACATTGTTTCTGTGGGAAAGTGTATTGGAAGTCCTCAGCAATCCTCTTAGAAACCATGAATTCAAAATTTTAGAAGAACCACTTATATAGTATTTACCAGAAAGTGCTACAAATAGTTAATATTATTTATTCACTATAGAAATGTTATTTGTTAAATTATTAAGATTTTGGATATGTCATTGAAAAAATATTTGGTTTTAGCTTGGTTATAGACTTATAAATTGAAAATTGCCTCTATGAATTCAAGGAAATAACAAGAAAAGAAGCATTTTAAAAAGTACAATTAAGGTGTGTGGGATAAGAATAATTGAAATGTCTCAAGTTTTTGAGATTATGAGAAAAAGTCTCATAATCTTATGATAACTTCTGGTAATGATATAAAGTAAGCAAAACTGCTTTAAACATTCTGAAGTATTATATAAATAAAAAGTTGTATTGTTAAATAAATATAAATAACCTATGGAAAAGAAAATGCCATAAAAATAGTGTAGAAGTGCTTAAGTCCTCCAGATGGTGAAGGAAACATAAAGTATGGAGCAATTTACCCAATGTTTAGTGAGTATCTTTTTATGAATAACCTTAGAAATGACTTTGCTCAAGTCAAATAGGTTGCCATTCTCAGAGGCAAGATAATAATCACTCAATTCATATAAGTCATACAAAAGTACTAATTTTGGAGTAATGGTCATAGTTTA